ATCAAAATAAAAAATTCATGCCTCCTCAGTATCTCTCTCCCTCTATGAACTCAGCGAACCACCTCAGAGATTAAACTCCACTCTCATTTGTCATTCTCATTAATTTGCTTGATAATTATTTTTGCTCTTTAACTGTCATTTATTAGACGCTACACATCCCATAATGCAGCAAATAACCCTGACAAGATGAAGAATGCCCTTTCTCTTGTACAGCAGTCTTGGTAGCAAGACGAAAACACTAGCAAAGACTCCAGCAGCTTCTGACTCAGACTCATGACTTATTCTCATGCAGAAAATGGTATTTTATACATAATGCAGCGGCGAGATGAAGACTGGATGAGACTGGGAGGTTGCTGGGTGAAAACACTGCACCAATTCACGCAAGAAAAGAAATAGCTAACCATAGAATAAAAGGACTGTAGTTGTCTTTGACATTTCCCAGGTGCACTGCAAAAAGAGCCTTTGTGTTCAGCAAACTGGATAAATAAAAGTTTATGAAAACAGCAAGTGTTCTCGTCAGAAAAGAGAGCGGAGGGTTCTATTTTCAGGGCTTCCTGTTTAATTGGCCCGGTGCAAACCAGCACAATGGTGGAGCAGGGCTGACTCTGAATAGACACTGGAACATGTGCTTCCATAAGGAGAGCTGGTTCCCGCTGCAGGGTCTATACTCTAACCATAATTACACTTTGGAAAAAGAGAAAGGTCCGTGGGTTAGGGTTGGAAAGGTTGATTGGCTGATAACAATATGGATTTGATTTTATCAGCCAATATTCTCCTTTTTATAGTTTGTATGTCTTACATTAATCGTTTAAAGCACCTGAGAGAGATATGTTCGAGCAGGACTTTTCACAGTTGAACAAGACTAAGAGTTTACACCTGAGCAGGTGTGTTTACACACTGTGGTGCTCTGAGCTAAATGCTAACACCAGTGTGCTAACATTCTGACAATGACAGTGCTAATATGCTTCTGTGCAGTAGGTATAATGTTTACCAGCTTCACTATCTTAGTTTAACATGTTAACATACTAGCATTTGCTAATTAACAGTAAACACAAGGCACAGCTGAGGCTGATGGGAATGTCATTAGTGTGACAAGGAAAAGTTTGGGGATTACCACAATTCATTAAAAAATGTAATTAATTCTGAAGATATTTCCCTCATCAGACTGACAGGTGTGATTCTAATGAATGTGATTAGAGTATAAGGATGTGTGTAATCTCATGACAATTCATCCAATAGATGAGACATACACACAAAAAAGGCATTTTACTAAAAACTAAAAATGTCAACCTTGCTTCGTGAAGATTTTCCATCTGGGGATGTCAGCATGCCACCAAACTTCCTGTACAAAGTTACAAGGCAATCTTACAAAGCCCAGAACGTGTCATGGAGCTGAAAATAACTAATTAGCACAATTTAGTGCAATTTGTTTCAATAATGTCTGTGCACAAATTGCTAATCTGTGCCGTCTTGTTGAGTGTAGAAAACAGCAGCCCCATTCAGTCAGCTGTCAGTTTGACGAACATGACACAAAAGATATTTTTGAAGCGCTCCAAAACCCTGAAGCTGAGGTTTATGAACTGGATGATACTTGCACTTTCAACAAAGTCTATTATCCTGTAAAATATAGTTAAAGACAGTGGTGGAGGCAGAGGGTGTGCTGCGGTGGACGAGGCCACCCCTGGCTACAGTCTGGCCATCACACTTGCCTCCCCACATGCACCATATTTCAGATAATTGATTTTTCTCTCATGTTTCTCATTCCCCCACAGCTCTGAATAAATAGGAATTAATAATATAAAGGAGTGAAAATCATTTGCTTTAAGGTAAAACAGCTAAGTCAGTCTGTGTGTTCATGTTTACTTCAGCTCTCTTGTTGTATACTGTTTGACAGGACGTGATTAATGCATGTGTATAGTGCTATGATGATCTTACTGTGATGTTTGGTAGCTGTCAATCATAATTAAGCTTAATACATAGTACAGATGTTTTGGAAGCAAAAATTTACTGGAAGTAAGAACAGGAACAAGAAACAAGGAGATTCAGATAGAAGCTGACCACAAGTAAACATCATAATCTGACCCCTGAACAGCTCCAGACCACACAAAGAAACCTGAACCAGATTCAGATTTGTGTCCCACTCCAAAGTGAGAACTGGCCGCATGCTAGCCAGGATCTCAAAAATAACTTGTCATTGTGTTTAACAAAACCCACATATGTCAGTCCAAGATCAAATCATACACAAAGAGATGAACAAGTGATGGTCTGACTCATCAACAAAAGGACAGACAGACATGGCTACCAGCATGGCTTAAAATAAACTAGTCAGGGGTCTTTGGTGTCATTGTTTCTTAGCTACCTCAAACATATTGGCATTTCTGTATTGCTCTTTTGTTGTCTCTTATCTGATAGTGATATATGAGTAGTCAGCTAGTATCAGCTGATATATCCAAAATGAGGACTCAAGACCGGCCCCAGCAGAGAATGTCTTCAGACAGCACATGAAGCAAAAGGAAAGGTCATTCTTAGTTTATGTACAAAGGTGAATTTACTTCATGGTCTGTTTAACAATTTCTTCCAGGAGAGAAACATATCAATCAAATCACTACAATAGGACATAAAGTAATGTTGACGATCATTGTGTTGGCTTGAAAATATATATATCTATTGTATATACTGTATATTATAAAATATAATATATATACATGCATATATATATATGCATGTATATCAGACCCCAGTTTTGTTTCATTTTGATGATAAATGTTATGATTTAAATGTTTTTTTCACAGCACTTCTCACTCATCACTTTATGTAAGTCAGTACAAAGATGGGAAATGACTTGATATTATTAATTATTATCCTCTACGAAAACCTTACTGTGATGATATGATCATCGTGTTTTGTTGTGTCTCAAATTCTCTCATTCAAATGAATGATTCCAACATTTGTTATCAAAGTTTGAGATTTGTGATGAAAAAACACTCCAGTGATATACAGTATATAAATAATCGGATAAATATATTATATTGTGAAATTGATTCCAACAATAGTGCGCAGACCTAACTGAGGCATCAGACTCTGATGGTCCTCTACAATGATGCATCATTCTTCGATAATGTAAAAGTGAAAGCCAAAGTAAATGTGTATGTATTTACGTGTGTATGTGTGTGTGTGTGTGTAACTGTATGTGTGGTATTAAGCCACAGCTGACCTGCTTTGAGTCTCTGCTGGCAGAGGAAAGCAGAGGGTTGACTGGGCTTCTGCTTGTCACGGTGCAGCCATTTCATGCCATGTGGGGGAAGAGCGCCCTGGGCTGCACCCTGAGGTCCGCTCAACAACAAAGGCATGGCAGCGGGGCACCAAACAGCTGTAAGACTCACTCTCTGATCTCACATTGTACCATTCACCTCTGCCTGCCAGATCACACTGCGGCCGGGCGTCCTACAATCCTGAGTCAAAATATAAAAACCTGCATCCTGTAAAGTGACTCAAACTAAATGTTTAAGAAATTATAATAGTCAACACAAATAATGAGATATGACTCAACAACAAAATAAAGGCTCAAGTGTGACACCATATATTACATCGTCCCCACTCTCATCACCAGCCTTCACAGACGTAAATGCGACGTGTAACAAGGCAAACAAACAGTGAGTGTGATGTGACGTGGAGTTCCCATCATCCTCGTGATCATTGCATAATAGGACAGAGATTAACCTCATGGGTCTAAACATCAACAGTGTTTGACAACAACTCCACCTTGGCCTTTCCATTTAATTCAATTAACTTTCAGTTGAGAAAATAAATGTTGATTGCTCTGTGATGAAATGTAAATGAAATTTGGCTCCAGCTGGTTCTTGATACCCAACCCTCACTGTGAGGAGAAGTCTTGAGTCTTCGTCTTTGATTGGTGGTTGGTCGCACGAAAAAAAGAAAAATCAAACTCCACAGGAAGTGGTGACTCTCAGTCAGTTACCAACAGACAGTGACGGTGTGATTGCCGTCGTCTTATGGACTACACTATGAATATATTTGTAATACTTTCTTTACAATATCAATAATTCATTAACTATGTCTCTCCTGAACATGCAATAGTCTCAGTTAAATGGATGAGACATGGTGAAAAAGGTTTAATAACAGTATAATGATTAGGAATTATTTGTTTAAGGCAGGTGTAGCGAAGGACAGGAAAGTTAGTTGACTTCTACAGTGCAGCATCCACTGCACAAGCCAGTGAAAATCATCTTGTATGAATGTGAAATATTACTTGGGCGAAGTGGTTAATGACTCTGAGTTCAGACACTGAGTTTGCTGATACACAGGTTCACTAAGCTCCGATGCCAATAATCAGTGAAATGAGATGCAACGTCATAATAACATTGCTTCTCAGCTCTGGAACTCAAACCATTTTCTGATGCCCCTGAAAATATAAACAGTCACAACATATCAACATATCATAAAGGTGCAACGAGTAGTCGACTAACGCTTGAACTAAAAACTACCAGTGGATTAGGAAAATCTTTGGTCGGTGCAGCCCCTTTCTCCTGGACAAGGTCCCCTATTTAAAGGTTTGTCCATGGACCTCCAATAAACCGTCATAACTATGACAATTACTCAATTGTTTGTAGACTTTTGGTTATTAATGGCAGATACCAACCCCATAGTGTTATTTTAGGGTACTTTTAAATTTTCTAGGGCGATTGTAAAGGGTCCCAACAGTAGACTACGTAAATAAAGATGGATAGGACTTTACTTCTTGAAAAATAAGACAGACCCCTCCTCCCCACCCCAGTTATTTTCATACAGTCTCAGTTTTACCTGACAACAGATTACTTTTGTAGATATACATTTATAGTGTGTACAACCTCTGGGTATTGGTCTTTTTCTTAATTAAGTGAATGAATGAAAGTCTGATTTATGCAGATTTCGACCCCATGACCCCTTCATGGACTCCTGAGGCCCCTGGGCTCCCAGTGACAGGCAGTGTATGAACTCACTTGTAGGAGCTGTCGGCTGTGATCTCCTCTTTGATCTGCCTGTTCACAGCATCCGCGGCCGCCCGCCCTTTGCCCTCTCCTTCCACCTTCACGACAACTTTCTTCACCCCCTGCTGCTTACTGGGCCGTTTTTTCCTCTCTTGTCCCTGGAGCAGGTCTTTCTCCTGCACCTTGTCGGCAATAGCGCTCTTCTCCACGCCGCTGTCCGCATCTGCCTGCGCCACATGCTGTTTCACGTGTTTGGACTTGTCCGGTGCACGGTCGTCACCGCAGGTGGTCGGTGGTTTGGGTATCCAGGGGTGGTCGTACCTTTTCGGGATGGGCCAGGGCTTGAAGTCCTTCTGGTACTGGGTCTCGCTGTTGAACGGTGTTTCCGGTCCGTGGTACTCGTTCTTGGGTTTACAGCTCGGTTCGGGTCGCACTTTCCAGTGTTTGAAGTCCTCGCGCATCACCGAGCTGCTCACGCGCTCCTCGGAGACGCACCTTCGCGGTGCGCGTGCTGTTGTCGTGGTGCGCGTTTCTGCGCGAGACGGCTGCGTTTCTATGGCGACCCGGCCCTGGGGAGGGTGGAGCGGCGGCTGCAGCTGGATGTGCTGCATCTCAGAGACGTCCGTGTACTTGGTGAAGACCAAAGGCACCGCAATGTCAGCCTTGTCCAGCTGGTTCCAGAAGCGGGCCATGCAGCACGCCCTGCTGATACAGGGCCACGCCATGGTGAGGGTCGGAGAGCTCCACTACAACACGATTTCCACCAGGTCCGAAACGCAGGGAAATATTTTCTTTGCACCCTGGTATCCCGATAGGAGAAAAACAAGATGTCCGTGTGTCAGGCTGCACGGATGGCTCCAAGACTGTTGACGTTAGATTAGGTCAAGTAAATCCATTATGCTACTACAACACAATGCCATAAATTTTAGTATAAAAAAGACAACAACAACCGCACTGACGTTGGCTCTGTTTCCCTCTGTGTCCGCTCTGTCCCGTACGTCTTGCTACATCACTCCACGGCAGGGCACTGCAAGGAAAAACGGCCCCGCCCGCCTGCTCAGCATCCCTGAGACACCAAACTAGAGCCGAGGAAAATAACGTCAAGTCAGAGAGAATATCAAACGACTTCCGGCTGAAAACCGAACAAACTAAACGCCTTATTGACACTCAGGTGATAGGGTGTGATAGGGTGTAAAAACACCCAAAAAAGAACAGAGGACATTGAAATTGATGTTATTAGATGATATTATACGTTGTTCAATTTTCTGCATAGGCCATACGGACGGGTGACACATTTTTAGGAAAGTGCCTTAGGTTTTTCTTTTCATTTGCCTATATGTAGCATAAACACTCACGTAAGCCTGGTGCTTTGATTTTGAAATTTGAATAACATTTATTTCCTTTATAAGGTGGATAAACACCACGAACTTGACGTAAATGGTTTGCCTTTACGCACGCAACGTACTGGTACAGGAGGAGGGAGGGACGTTTGGTCCAACCATCACATTACAGCTTCTTCTCTCAACATTCAGATATTTGTTGACATTAGATAAAACAAAATGAGAAACGTTGTTGTCTTATAAATAAAAAGACAATAAATACATAATATATATATGATGATATATAATTATCACTATGGAAAAATAAATATTATAAATATTAAGTAGGATAATATTGCCACTAACTAATAAATATAATATAATATAACATAATATAATATAATACATATAATATTGAATATATATTGTAATTGATATTATGTGTATTTCTTGATAAGGAAGTACAATAACAATTGTAAAATATAATCTATATCAAAACCATTAGAATGTCAACACTCTTAAATGTTGGCGACTGATTCATTCCACTGTAACAAAGACTGTCAGACTGAGGCAGCAAATAGAATACATGAATAATGCCAACACATTTACACACCCTGGGGGCCTATTTCACATTGGACTACAATTTCTATAAAAAAGACCAGTACATAATGTAAACACATGAGTTTTCATAATGGAGACGGTCAGCTCATTTTTAGAAGCAATGATAGCTCTAAAACATGATGTTTCCCTTTTTATTTGACTGTGTTGACTTTATTATTTGTCAGCGGCTGCAGGTAAAACATTAACTGACTGTGTGTTCAGGATCAAAGTGTTAATGAGGTAATTAGGGCAGAGGATCCCTGAATAAATGAATAAATTATGAAGATGTAATCAAAGGGAAAACTGTAATAGAATGGCACTCAACCCATTGTCTCTGACACATGTCAGTCTAACTGAAGGGAACGAGTGAAAGATTAAAAAAAAGATAGTGAGAGCAAGAAGGTTTTACATTCCTCTGAGAGTCTGTCTCAGTGTTGTGTTGACATGTGATGCAATATATGAATGACTCCTCCATTATCTCCTGTTATCTTCTTTCCCCTTCATCAACACCTTGGATAACCCTGTCAATCTCCACAGTGTGCTGTATAAACACCTTGATTCTTGCCTATAAGGGCATAAAACTATAGCTGTAATTTCCCTTTAAACAATCATTTCCAAAGGTATTTCATGCAACACTTGTAATGGCTTTATTTGAGAAAAAATGTGTTAGACTTCAACAAAGGACCTTTATCACTCTCTGTATCACACTGAGATGCAGTTACATGATTGCTCAACCAGATGGGGCTGCCTTTACGGTTTTAAAGACCAACATATTACACAGTCATGCTCACCACCGACTGCCTTCCCTGAAGTGAAGGAAGATAAAGAGCAGTAAAATCAACATAAGCCTTTGACATCTCCCTCTTCCACTGACTTACAGTTGGTGTTATTTTGTATGGCTTGTTTTTCATGTTTGCTTAACTGTGAGTTTCAGCAGCTCCAGGTCAAAAGTCTTATGAGGCAGATATGAACTGGCAAATCAAACCCTACATTGAGTTTCTGAGATAAGCATGTCAATCAGAGGTGACCATGGAGAGGTGAGAGGAGCAGACTTTGGACCCACTTCACTCGCTCTTCTTCTCCGCGACAGGCTGCAGCGCCTTGGTTCGTCTCCCTGCACTTGGGGAAAACATGAAGGTTAATTTTGCCCCTCTAGTCGTGCCCTTCCACAGGAGGCTACAGACGGCCGCGGTGCTGCAGTGGGTCTTCTCCTTCCTTGGCCTGGGTGAGTATATGCATGTTTAAAGATGGCGTATTAATAGGATGACACTGTTGAGGAAGTACAAATCTGTCCACAGGTAGTCTTCAATTCTTTACAGTATGCGTTGACCGAACAGAGCGATGACCTCAAAGTAAAGTGCATAAAATGTGTATTATACATTTTCCAAAAACAGTTACTATTTCATTTTATTTCATTTTATGTTGGCTGTATTTGTTCAGCAGGTGTGTTCAGGGTGTTACAACTGATTCACGTTGGTGGGAGGTGTGTCCTGCACAGTCAGTCTGTCATAGCTGCACGTATATTGTGACGATGAATATAAAGATTATCCTTTAACCATTATTTCACCAAGAAAGGGTCACTGAGATTGAAAACCTCTGAGCTGGGAATTGCTGCTGTATCATCCCCACTGTTTCTGCTGTACTGTGCTTTTTAAAAATGCTGAGGCCTTTCACATAATAAGGAGTGAAACACTCACATTATACTGGGCAGCAGGCAAATCTCCTACAGGGATGCTCACTTTAAAAGTCGCCCAGCCAGATATTGAACCAGAACACTGTTAGACCAGCTCCTTAGCCCACTTTATTCTACTGAAGAGAACAATTTTAATTTTCAATTTTCATCACTATAGCATCCAGGCCATTGCATAATGGTAGTGATCAATTAAAGTATTGATATCTTTCTGTTTTTGAAAGGAAGTTTGGCAGCTGAGCACTGATACCTAGAAAAACAGAGGAGCCTGGAGCTAAAATGAAAACAGACACAGAAACCAGTCACAGTGAAATATTAAACTGTACTGACATCATACGAGCGCGTTCTACCATCGCATGGCTCTGTCATCAGTAACCACCAAAACCACCTATTATGTAATCTCCAGCTGAACTAAATGCTGTTGATGCCGAGCAGATGCCGTCATTCATAAAATAGCTAATTCCCCACAAACACATGATGTTCTACTGCAATCATTCTTAGAAAGATTTGCTATAGCAGAACAGAATGGACGGTTATATAATGCCCTTGTTTACAGTGAAGTTGCTGCTCAATACAATGATTCTTTCTTTCCCCCAGCACCCACTTGCATCTTCCTGTTCTTCTACCTGCTGTTCACTCGCTTCTGGCTGGTCAGTGTGCTGTACGCCGTCTGGTGGTACTTTGACTATGACACCCCAGCACGCGGAGGCCGCAGGGCTCCATTTTTGTGTGGCCTCAAACTTTGGGATCACATGCGGGATTACTTCCCCATCAAGGTGAGAGGGAGCTTTTAGACAGTTGTCGTATAAACCTACATTTCAGTCACTATATATACTGTATATACACATCAGTGCCATTAAGCAGCCTTATATGAGGTGGGGCAGGATTTACCTCTGCAGGTCAGAGAGAAGGACGTTAGAACATCTCACTTCCCTGTTCATTTCATCTAATCTTTGATCTCCAGCTACATACGAGCAGTCGTCCTTATCTCTGTCCTTGGCAGCAAATGGACCACTGATGGATGACACCCCTCTGTTGCCTATAGTCATGTACTGCATATGTACACACAGCCTCCACAAACCATACAGTCAACGTCACGTTGTCTGATTTAACACTGTACTATAGGCCGTGTCTTCCTGTTGTGAAAGAAATTTCTCTGTTAATACTATACAGATGGACTCTAAAATACTATACTAAATAGCACCAGTTTGGGAGCATACTAAAAGCAGAACTGAATATGTGAAATATAATAGAAGCTTAGCCAATGAATTTATCTATCTATAATCTATAATGAATGTAGCATGATTTCCCACATACCTCCTAAAAAAATCAAACATTTATTGTTGAAAGTGAGATGTGTAGATTGATGCCATTCTCATATCTCATATCTGTCCGTTATATCCGAAGCTCAGGCCAGGAGACAGTTAGCTTAGCTTAGCATAAAGACTGAAAGCAGGGGCAAACAGCTAGCCTGGCTCTGTTGTGGTTGTTGCAGTGTCACAGGGGGTTGTGTGCTGGGCTGTTTCTTGGAGCAGTGACTTCCTAGAGTGAATTACAACCTCACTGTAAACTCCAGGAAATGACTGTTCAAGAAATAGTCCAGCACACATAAAACCACATAAAACCACTAATTTTTACACTATGATTTAAACCAACAAGATGTAACATCTTAATTAGTTAAGTTTTCAAGTGGTTGCATGTGGGGTGTTTTTTTAACACCTTTGAATAGAGCTAACAAGCCATTTCCCAATTTCCAAACTTTATGCTGAGTTAAGCTGACGGTCTGCTGGCTCCAGCCTCACATTTAATGTGATGAGAAGTCTTACGCTTAGTAAGTGCATAAGTGAATTAGTGCAGTTTACTAAAAGTCAAATAACTTCACTTTAATCAGCAGATCAGTGACCTTCGAATGATTTTGTACAGATTTACGCTGGCTGCTCAGCAGATGCAGCTGCAAACCAGAAATATTTCCAGTGTTCAGAGACACTGACAGAGCAGTTATTGTACACTACAAAATGTATAACCCATTTGCTACAGCCAAGTCTATACACCGTGAACTCACGGCTGCTCTGAAAAACACCCATTCCAGTGAATGAAAAGAAATCATGTAAATCAAGCGAACGTGAAATGTCTGCTGCAGGCCGGTTACACTGACACACATTATCCAGTGATCTGAGGTAGGTACAGATAACTGATCATTAACACTGCAGAAGTTTCTTCAAAACTTAGTTGTTTTTGTTGTGTTGGTTTTGACATCTGTTTGCAAGGAAAGATAAGTTGGCAGCTATACTGAGCAGGGCTTTCGGTGTGAGATTGAAAACACTGCCAGCTCTAAAGGTACAGCACACACATCCCTCTTGCAGCTCGTTGTGTCCCTCATGTGGTCATATGTGAGTAGTGCGTGTCCTTGACTTACTGGCTTTTAATCATGAAAAATCCTGGTATTTTATATCAAACTCCGCCAACTGTGTTACATGTTGGCTGTGAGATGTTTGAAATCATGAAAAATAACTGGAGATCACCTCATCACGGAGAACAGAACCTCTGTTGACAACGGCCACCACATTACACGGCTCTGCTTCTTGCCCCTGGTGGAGACTTATACTTTGGACTGAGCTGATAAGACAGAGCAACAACAACATAGGTTCAACAGTGTTTTGAAAACAGCTCTGCATACATTATCTCAAGCAGTGCTATGAAACATTCTGTGTATTTTTTAGATAGGCCTAACTATTTAAAAAAAAAATGAAATTAATGTCTTAATGTCTTTCAAATAAAGACATATTAATTTCATATAGACAAAATGTTTTTTTTTCCCAACAAAAAGTTACTTTCTGCATGTGTGAGATCAGGCAAACTGAGTTTATTATATGCTTTTAAAGCCAGGTGCTCCATCATATATATTTAGACCTATTTATATCTCTGAGTATTAAGTGGGTCATGTCTCTGTTTACATGAATTAGCCTTTAAAGCCATAAATGATAACACAGTACTCCATATTGGCCTGTTTTGCTGAACTACCTGAGGTGATCAGATTCTGGTTCTCTATATAATTATATATCTACAAATATTTCAAACAAAAATATTAATTCTACTATATTATAATATATTCTACTATATCAATTAATGTTATTATTATCATTATACTTTATATATGTATCGTAAAATATTGCTTTAGAGCCAACTAGAACATCTGCAGGGAGAATTATGAACAATAAAATTGAAAAAATGTAGGCTATAACAATAAAAGCCAAGAACAAGTAAGATAAGGCAACAATATGTACAGTAAAAGCAGAACCATATAACAATAAAAGTCAGGAGAAGACTAGCACAGAAATAATTACATGATAATACAGTTTGTAAAATGTATGATAATCACATAGTTTTAGACAATAATAAAACAATAAAAAGGTTTTGTGTTGTGCAAATAAAGAAGAGGAATCAACACGTTTCTGTCAGTTTCACACCCAGAAATGAGCATTATAAGCATTAAATGGCACTGCACATAATCATGGGAGTGAGAATTATAGGAGTTTGTTATTGTGTCATCTCTCATGAGAGATCTCATGTGAACGTATACGAGACAGAAAAACACTTCTACTTTTCTCTCTGTGTGAAGATAAAATCTCAAACCTAAAACCTAAAATTCCCATTTTGTAACCCGTTGAGAGCGAATCATCTCCAGCATCATCTGACTGTATGCCTCATTACATCTGAAACAAAGAGTCAATGTAAGGGTGAAGAGAAGCAGTGTATTTCAGAGAGCCTAATTTGTTTCATTCATTCTTTTCCCACCATTTCTAATTACACCGTCATCATCTCAGACAACCTCACCATCTGATGTGTGGTCACTGGGTTTTTAAGAGGAGAACAGAAATACATTTAGACAGGATAATGATGCAGATTCATATGAAACACAGTCCATGACCTCAGTGTGGGTTATTTTTAATTAGCTGGATCTGCATCAACATTCACTCAGGGATAAGAAAATGATGCTGATTAGCTGACAGTGGCCATGATGCTGAGAAACATCTTTCCAACGAATTACTAGGCTTTTGCATGACAAAAAATTTAAGAGAGTCTGACTCATGACCACGAGTTAAAGCCACCTACTGTAAACCCTAACCATAATCCATCACCATAATCACAATCATACTGCTGTATCATAACTGCATCATAAGATCCAGTATATGAAATATATATGAATTCTAATTTGGATGCAGTTGCGCAATGTTTAGAGCAATATTTCATCATGGTGGGAATATCAGCTTTTTATGCGATTCAATACAACTCTCGTGTTTACACGGATGAGACAGTTAGCTAATTTATTAGCATAATGACTAGAAACAAGGGGAAACAGCTAGCATGGCTCTGGCCCAGTCAAGAAATATCCAGCACATAACCCCACTGTAAAAACACAATTTTTACACTTCAGTTTTTCAACAAATCAAACAAACAAGATATTAGTTAGTGAGCTTTAGGGGTGCGGATAAAAAAAAAGAAGAAAACACAGTGTGTGAGCGGTATCGATCTTCTCATCAAACACTTGGCAAAAAAGTGACTAACCCTGTTACCCAAAATGTTGAACCATTTCTTCAAAGCCGTGGCAATCAAAAAATATGGATCCACACCAAAAAGACTCTCTCCTCGGACCTTTGATCCAACAAACTTTATTGACTAAAACCAAAGTCCTTGGAAGGGACAATAGCAATACAGATTATTCAGGACAACTTGGTTTTCAACAGGGGAACTCGAGCCAATGATTAACTTTGTGACCTGGGGGCCTGCGGCTACTGGTACCCACAATACAAACAATGTGGACACAAAACAACACACCAGCTTTGTGAGGTCCAATATCACAAGATGATTAAACAGCAAAAAACTTGTTTAGTCCAAATCTTCATATCATAGATTTGATCAGCTACAAGAAAATGTCTGACAAAGTTTTTTAGTATACGGTGTCAGCGCTGGGTGAGTGTTGGCGCTTTTGTTAAATAGAAGAAAGAAGAAAAATTATAAAAGAACAAGATATTATAAAAAAAAATCAAAGTGTATGAAAAACACTCCTGGAAGTTGCTTCTTTGACCCTGAGAAGATAACATGGATGCTAGATAATGAGTGTGAATGTGGCCCTAAGAGCAATGTGGCCTTGAAATGCTGATCTCACACACAGATACTAAGAGTGAGGGGAACAGATTTGTTTTTCACAGAGGGCACAATGCTCGCCTGCACTGCAAAACAAACTGCAACACGCGACAAGCGACTCTTTACCCTTGACAGTGACTTGACAGAACTCTGTTGTGCCTCTCACTATCTCTTCCCCTGCTGCTCTGGACCAGCGGAGGCATGTAAACACTGAGATATCTTAGCAAGTCATTTACAGTTCCTCATCAAGAGCCATTATTTCTGACACCACAGAGAAATGCTTCTCAGTTCCCATTGATTGATTTAATTACTGAATGGCTTGTCAAACACTAAGATCACTTCACCTGACAAATCTCAAAGCATTACAGACAGAAGCATCAAAGCAGGCAGTTCCTGTCCAGGAACAAACAAGTGGAGTGTGGGACTGTTCCAGGGTGTTTATAAGTCAACACCAGCTGAGTTCATTTTGACTTTTAGATAGATCTGAAGAGTTGCTCTATAGTTGTATCTCCCTCATGAGTAAACACATGATTGAATCAATACTTGTTACTACAAAGTGAACATAACAAGGATTAACATTGGGGAAACAAGTGGAACCAATGAATTAGCTGGGTCGCAGTGGTGTACCAACATACAGAACTTCACTGTACATACAGTACAGAATAAGAGAACCTCACAGACAGGTCAAAGGTACACTGTACATACTACTCTGCATATTATAGCAGTGTGTGTTTTCACTGTGTGTATAGCTGCAGTACAGGCGCAGTGACCAATGAGGCATCGATCTATTGTTTGATGACAAGCTTCTGCTACGAAGAATTAAAAGACACATATAAAATACTCAGATGTATTAAGTCTGAAATCTGATGTGCTAATGGTGATGTAGACAAAGATGAGGTAACTAAAGTTACAGTGTAATTATAGTTTGACTATAAACTATATTTTTGACTCCAGCTCTGGCTCATGTTTGAGACTATAGTTTGACTAGTGTTATGTTTTTTTGAAGTAGGATTTAAGTGTAATATCATCATCACATGATGTTGGCTCCCAGCGTCGGTCACATCCCATTTGGCCAGATGGGTTTCACTTGTGTTGTTGTTGTAGAGGAGTGGAAGGAAGCACTGATCAAACGTCCTTTGGATTTTCCCAGTAAATTCAACCTGAGTCCTTTACATAGAAATCAGTCCACAGGCTGTTATAGACAGTGGTGGACAGTAATGAAGTACATGTACTTCACTACTGTGCTTAAGTATATTTTTTGAGTATCTGTACTTTACTTTAGTATTATTATTTTTAGACACTTTTGACTCCACTACATTTCTACAAAGTACTCTTACTTTGAAGCAGAGCTTTTAGTCAGTGAATGAATTTTCTTTCGTTTTCTAAAGTGTGATAAATCATACAGTGTGTTCACCACAGGAGAAAAACCAATCACAGTCAACTCCTCTGTCAGTCACTGAACAGCTCAGTTTGACCGTGTTACGTCAGATAAAGATCAGCCAGAAGATTCTTCAAGTGCATGTTTGAAATTTTTAAATTAGATAAAGATTTCTTTCGTTTTACATGTTTGCTGTGTTCAGCTTGACCAAAATTCATCCCTACCTACCTGTAAATACACTGTGGAACAATGCAACAATGTGTTGACTTAAAAAAATATACTTTTGAATAAGTATGAAGTATTTTTAACATGCAGTACTCCAGTACTTTAACTCTGGACTGGAGTAATATTTGACTTGGAGGATTTATACTCTGACTGACCTCTGGTTATAGGCAACCAAAAAACTCAGGGGAAATCAAATTTTTTAAGTTATCTACAATCCGTTCACACATTGGAAAATTCAAAAGTAATTAACATGTAAATTGCTTCATATTCTATATACATTTGTACCTTCTGTACCTTTAAAGGGCCACAAGTTAAAAAGGCTGAGAACCACCAGTTCAGTCTTTAATGATTTCATAAGTAGATCATGTCTGAAAAGTAACCAGTAACTCGAGCTGCCACATAGTGGAGTAACAGGCACAATATTTCCCTCTGAGATGTAGACGAGTACAAGTGCCTCAAGAGTGCACTCGAGTAAATGTACCTACCTGTTGCCACAGACTGGGGGAAGAGCGAGGGATCACAGGGTCAATGACACTGTTGAAACTGGAATATCAAGGCACATGTTTGGGTTGCAGCCACCACAATGCAATACTGTCAGCTCTTTTAGGAAGAATCAGATGATCTGAAATCAAACATTTGATCAATCTTTTATGGAACCAATCAATCCAATTTATGTTTGTGCACCTCGGCATATGGACCTGTAGTTGCTTTCACCTTCACAATGTTCTTTCTTTTTCTTCCCCCAGTTGGTGAAGACAGCTGACTTGGATCCCAGGCACAACTACGTCTTCGGCTTCCATCCCCATGGCGTGCTGGTGGCCGGAGCCTTTACTAACTTCTGCACCTACGCCACAGGCTTCAGACAGCTGTTTCCTGGCCTCACCAGCTACCTGCTCATGTTGCCCCTGTGGTTCAGAGCCCCGTTCTTCAGAGACTACATCATGTGTGCAGGTTTGGCCCTGGGACACTTCAGTCTCTTTCCTTCATCCACATGCTGTGTAAAGGGTATGTACTTTGATCCTTGTATATCATTTTAATCACTTCTCATGTTCTGCTGCAACACTTCAGGTCTGATTCCTTCAGACAAAGAGAGCGCCAGCTATCCGCTCTGCAGAAAGGGTGGCGGTAACGCTGTTGTAATAGCAGTTGGTGGGGCCCCAGAGGCCCTTGATGCCCACCCTGGGACCTACAATGTGATGTTGGCCAAGAAGAAAGGCTTCATCAAAATGGCCATGGAGCATGGGTAAGAGCAGAGAGCCCTGGGGTAAGGAGCAAATGTCAATCTATTCATTTTAGGTTTCTTGAGGCTGGAGCGTGGCCTCGTGAAACAGAGGCTTATTCAGGCTCCTCACATGGAATTTCCTGGGAAAGCAAAAAGTCTGTTATGAGATCAATTCAGAGTGAGAAACAGATGCAAAACACAAGGATTTGAAAGTGATGATAATCAATTAAACAACATTGTCATTAAAAATATTTTTAGAGCTCATCTCGTGCCAGTGTTCTCCTTTGGAGAGAATGAAGTGTTTGATCAAGTGGAAAACCCGAGAGGAACGTGGCTTCGATGGATGCAGGAACGGCTACAAAGCATCATGGGCATCTCCCTGCCTCTCTTCCACGCACGAGGCATTTTCCAATACTCCTTTGGTCTCATACCCTACAGAAAACCCATCAATACAATAGGTGAGTGAACACCTTTGATCATCAGTCACTATCAGGAGGCTACAGTACATGCAGCAGCTTGGTTTTAATTAATTCCCCAACCAGCTATTGATTTTGTTGGAAGCATCTAATGTCACCAAGTTGGCAAAGAGAGTTTCAGTGAACGTGAGCAATATTGGTCAGCTAAAGAGCAGGAGTCCAGCAGACAGACAAGGATGTGTCTCAATCTGCTGCAGGCGCACTTACCAACATGGCCTTCTGTAACTGGCTGGCATGGTGCCCCAATGTATGCCACCCCCTTTTTTCGATTAGATAAAACAGACAATATTGCTGATCATAAAGTACACTGACTCTGAGCGTGTTGTCCTCTTCACCTCTCTGCAGTTGGTCGGCCAATTAGGGTGGAGAGAAAGGAGAAGCCGAGAGCTGAGGAGCTTGACGCCCTCCACCAGCTGTACATGGACGAACTCAGCAGTCTGTTTGAGGAGCACAAAGGCAACTATGGAGTGGACAAGGACACACACCTGATCTTTGTCTAGACTGGACTGAGGATGGAGGATTTGAATGCATATTTATTTCTAAAGCTCTGGTGCTGCAGGTTCAGATAACTGTACATTTTATTGGCTCTGAACACCTACATTTGCCCTCAACTGGCCTGTTAATTAAAGATGACTATAAACACTCATGGATCCACTTACTGACACCTGTGTGTTCATTTAGACTGCTGTTGTTTTTCAGGTCGGTGTGGGAAATTGTACAAAGGGGACACTTATGACACAAGTCCAGTTTTCCTCATTTAACCTCTCTGGGGTTTTGGATTTTGTGAAAGGCCTCGCACTTTCTCAAATAGAGTCATAGGTTGAATTTGGGTTGCAACACCATATGGAGATTCTTTCGATAAAACAGTGATACAATTTCAGTATTTGGTGTCTTTACAAATGCTAAATGCAGGGTAAATAAAAATATATACACAACTCAACAGAAGTTTCTTTTCTTTCTGTTTTATGGCCTTGAGACATTAAAGGGAATATGTTTGAGAATCTATACCGCTCTCATGTCTGTTTGTTAAACATGAAACAACAGCCAGGAGGCGGTTAGCTTAGTTAGCATAAGCTAGCCTGGCTCTGTCCACAGGTAAACAAATCCAGACTGTTTCTTGCAGAAGATATTAAGCTAAGTGTGTCCTGGCTACAGCTTTGTATTTCAGAGACATGAAAATGATATCAATCCCATCATTTCACTCTCTGTGAGAAAGTGCATAAGCATTATCATATAGTTTTCCAAAATGAAGAACTATTCCTTTGATATCTAATTTGCAATTTATTAAACAGTTTGAAAGTTTATTATTTTCAAACAATTTAATCTTCAAATTCTCAAATTAATTTTTATTTATCCAAGTGAAACATAAGCAGGGTTAAAGGTGGTTTTGATCATATGTAGATCAAACATGAGTACGTGTCTCTTTTACTGTTTTATAAGTTCTAAATTCCACATTAAAGGCTCAGGGGCTGGTTTTGGATCAGATTCCCTGATAAGACTGTCTGTGAACTTTGGCAGAGACTTTATATAATATGCCAAGCTCTGATATTTCAAAATGAAATGACTGGCAGATTGGACAATGCCCTGATGCTTTCAACACAGTCTGTACAAGTTGTGTGTGCTTAGAAAAATGCTGACTAAAAGAAATCTTACTGTGAAAAAAGTACTGTGATGCAAAAGAGAGAACCATTGGGAAAATATTTTATTTAAGCATAAAAAAAATAGGTACTAAAAGGTGACAGACACTGATGAGCTGTAAGCATCTGAAACCTGGGAAAAGTATGTGAGGCTGGAAAAGAGCCGATAACCTGTGATGGGACTGAACAACATCCTGTATTCATAAACCTGAGACTGACGTTTTGTCTGCATCAGAGGATGTGTACAGTCTTTTATAGACTGACAATCTTTAATCACAATCGCAGCACATCTGTCGCTTTTATATCTTCATTTTCCATATAGTGCAAAGCTGTAATCGTAACATGATGGTTAATCGATGCAGCAGGCTTTGTGTGTCAGAGCTGATATTAAGGGCATTTTTGTGATGCGGCGTCTGTTCTGGGATCTGCTGTTCGGACACAGCTGCTAACAGATGACTGTTTGGTCTCAGCTCCTCGGTGGGTGTGGGTGAGGTCAGGGTTACAACATTATTGACTTATTTTTGAAGGAATAGGTCAAAGTACAAAAGAATCAAGGCCCCGTGTTCGCTGAATCCTTAGGGTCATATCTTATCTTGGCTTTTAAGAAAACAAAATGTAAAAGGATTTCCGGTCCCCCACGTTATAACTGACAGGGACTGTACTGTCGTCAGTAGCCTGAGCACTGATGAATCACAGAGTTTAAACAATGAAAACCTTTATTGGGACAAAAATATGATTCGTTTTTGATTTGTTAAAACAAGGGGAAACGCTTGTATGATAACAAAGTCATATCTATACAGTGGACGATTGGGTATCTGCTCTACAGATACAGTAGACTAACCAACATGAATTATATAACATGTAATGCTAAACCAAGATGCGTACATAGGTTGCATTAACTGAGGTGTTGGATACTGTTACACTTAGAGAAAGAATGTAACAACTGTGAAAACTAGACTTGATCTGAAAACTTGAACTCATCACTTCACGACAAAATTGGATAATAAAGAATAATCGATACATTTGAACCATAATTAACAGAGAGAATATAAGATATCCGCAGGGGCCTGCTGAGGCTGTACTGTAAAATTGCACGATTATTCCACTCATGTCCCACATTGTTACAAGGAGACATTTCTCAACAGTGGCTTCATGTCAAGGACGGTATTGACTGATTTCATCCAAAAGCAGTTATGATTCTTGGACCTGGTCCTACTAGATATACACTATCAGTTCAACTTTTTGGGATGAACTCATCGGATACAAAGTGCAGAATTTTCCATCAGAGACTGAGTATAATATTTAATTTGATAAAGTGACAGGGGTCGAGGTCTCTTGTCACATTGTCAGCACTTTCACCAAAGAGACATTTACCCTCAACTCGTCAGACAGGTTCATTTGAATAATTGTTAAATTAAGTGTAAAATTACCCAGTATTTCACGAAAAAGCAAGAAAAAAAGAAGAACAGAAAACAGAATTGTGTAGCAGAAATGTATCTTGTTTTCTCTCCCACCCCATTAATCATCCCACAATGCCTCAGACTTATCTTGTGGCCCTTCGGAGGAGCCCGGCCCCGAGGTTGGCAGACATTGGACTAAATTACCCAACTGTTCATAAAGTTGTTAAAATAAGCTCCATCTTGACCAGCTGCAGCAGTAAAATGATCACTTATGCATTGATGCAACAGTATTAATCTGATAATGTCATATATAATAATTTATCAGTCACAGGGAACATTTCTCTGCAGAAGAAGTAGCCTACTTTTACTATTGACACATCAAGTACATTAACCTAATTATCTGTATTTTTACTTAAGTTTGATTTTTAATGCAACTCTTTCACATTTATGAGTGTTTTCACATTATCGTATTGGTACTTTTACTTTACTAACTCTCTTGAATCTCTTTAAAACACCTTCACCTCTTTATCTTCAGCAGCCGTACATTAGTCATGTGTCCACCTCTGGGTCCTGGTTTGGTGAGTGTCTCTGCAGTGCCAGCTGGCAGACTCAGTCACTGTCAGAGGCCACAAAGAGCAGGAGATACCTTCAAGCTTCCCTGGACAGATGCCAGCCTCTGCAGACTTGCACAATGCAACCCACAGCTGCCCACACTCTGAAGCCACGAGAACACGACTGACACGTTCAGCCAGTGTGAGTCAGATTAGTCAGTAAAAGAGCAGCAGTTGTCAGCCCTGCAGAGAGAGAAAGAGAGAGAGAGGCAGAGGTGTGACTCAATCTGCTGCAACCACACCACATCCTTCTGTACCCGGCTGGCCTGCAGCCTCAATACCAGCCCACCACAGAAGACTATTTCGCATTTGTTGCATGGGGAATCAAAACATATGAAACAAGGCTTCATGAGTCCATCAGGTGGACAGTTGTGGGCTCTATTGTGTAAGGCTACAAATACTGCCATGCAAAGTGATATGTAGCCTCAAACTTAAAGCACGCATAAAGCACAGTGTATCACAAAAAGTGAGGATATCTGTGTATTACTGGAACAGTGAGAACATACAGAATACAGGTAAGATTGTAAGTTGATTTTTGATGCTTAATTTGATCACAAAAGATACCAGGTGCTGTGTGTACAGTAAATCTACCAGGGGTCATATGACTTCCTAATCAGAAGAAAGAAAGGAGTACTGGCAACGCAACTGTGTCCTCAGAGGAAAATAAATGATTTTTTTAAAATAGTAAACAGATAAAGTATCAGACTGTTTCATTAATGTTAAATACACCAAATCTTATTTCACCACATTCACAGATATGACAGATTAATATCATGCAGCGTGTTTTTCAAACACTGTTGTTTGTCTCCTCTAACCTGAAGAGTCAGGTTTACACCTGTTCCAGAGGTGAGGCAGGGATGGTCAGTACGCGGTGTTTTTCACCGTTGACCCACGTGACCACCCCCATAAATACAGGGGGGAGACAGGCGCAAAGACCACACTGCTGCTCCTGGTTTGTACGTGCTCTCCTCCGCAGGCCTCCCAGCTCACTGCTGATACAGTCCCCTGCTCTCTGGGCTCGGTCTTTGGCTCCTCCCCGCCCTGGTTAAATGTCCGCCCGGCGCCTCAGTCAGCTGCAGACGACGGCAGTCATGACCGAGGAGCTGTAGGTTGGACTTTTATCATCCTGACAGCAAGCAAACATCAGAGTTTCTCCTCTCCGGCATCCGCACCATCCACGAAGCCGCTATGAAGACCATTCTTGCTGCGTACTCTGGCGTCCTGAAAGGTGAGACACGTTAGGCTACCTGCAGAGTCACAGGTGGTTTAACAAACCAGGAGTCGATCCTGGGAGAGGTCTGTCTCCACACGCCAGTTTGTGTTGTTGTGTGGACAACACTTTACAAAGGGACGTACGGACAAAATGTGTTGCATCATCAATGTTAATTTACCAGTGATCAATGTAGAGGAATATCTACTGAAAAGAAACAGCATGTTGCAAGATTTAGAGTCATTTTCAAAAAAGTTCAAAAATCTTTCAAATAAAACAACACGAAACAAAAAGAAGGATTTTCATTTTTTTTTTATTATTAATATCTAAGTTACCATACATCAATATTAAGTTTTACAAAGACACAACGATTACTGGGCAACACTATAGGAGATTAAAAAAATACAAAGTACAATAAAGTGAGGGAACAAATTATCATTATTACAGTGTTTGACACCTGCTCTGTGATTGTTCGTGCCGCTACTTTTAAGTGTGGCACTAACTTATACTCAGTTGTCCAACTTGTTATTTCACATTTCGAAGTTTTGCATTTTTCTCCAGTTGAAATGTTTCAGTTTTAGGCAAAAGCTATATTTTTGATTGTTGAAAATGAGAATTAGTGATTTCTTCTGCGAGATAAATGAATGTTTATCCAGAAAAAGTTGTTTTATAATGCAGTCTATTCCTGCTTTGCTGGTAAATTCCTTTTATGTTTTGACTCTCTTCTGCTGTGTGGACCTTTTAATTTGAAGGTTGATTTCAGTGACAGCTCAGGGACATCTGTCACCCTGGAAGTTTAAATGATGGGTTCACATTTTAACACAGCACATGTCCGAACTGAGTCTGCAGCTGTAGACGAGTCCGACCGTGCAGTTACAGAATCATTACAGCAGTTGTATTGACAGGCACATGGTTCACCTGGCTGCTCCGTCTGCAGGAGCTGATAGCTTCTGTGCACCTCTCTGTTTGATTTGGCTCTGTGCAGGAATCAGCACACATTAAGTTGTCAGATCTGTCCTGGCCAGCTTTGACCGGCAGCCACTGGCAAAGCAGCGATAGTCTTTAGGAGTCATAGCTTCATAGTTTACAGGTATTACCCCCATCAGCTCGGCGCTGGGTTATTTTCAGTGTGCACAGATGGGATTAGGCAACAGTGTTTTCCTGCAGGGGAGATCTTCTTACTGGCTCTTGGTTGTACAAGCTTGACTAGCTTTAGTCGCTCTTAATGTGTCCGTTACTTTATGCTCCCTTTTTGCAAACTGTCCCTTCACATGTAGCTGCGGCTTCGCTTTCATGGGCTGGTGACTGAAAAGAGCTGGTGAGTGGCGGAGGCTGAAGTGTGTATTGATGCAGGGCAGCTTGGCTCCATTGTTTTCTTGGAAATCATTGATCTCTTTGTTTAGTTTGACGTTCACTTTGAGGTTGGGTTAATTCAAACCCGTGGTAGGAAAGTATTGCCACGACAAGGAGAGAGTTAACTGCATCTTTTCACTTTGATTTCTCACCAAGTGCTTCTTTCTCATCCATTTAAGCTTCTGTAACTGTTCTGTAATCCACCGACAAGCTTTGAACACCCCTTTTCTCCTCTTTTGTCTCCTCTCGCTCGTGTTGTCTCTAGGCACCGGCTCCAGCATCCTCTCTGCCCTGCAGGACCTGCCGGTGGTGTTCTGGCCCTGCAGATCCAAGATGGAAAAACATCTGCAGGTCATCTCTGTGCTGCAGTGGGTCATCAGCTTCTTAGCAATGGGTAAATGAGTGTGTTTGTGAGTGGGAGCCTCTGTGCATTTCACTTAAGCCGTCTGAACGCAAAGAAACCTAGAGGAGTTAGTCTCATTAGTCTCATGCAAAGGAGGTCAAGGCACTAATGCTCACACACTTGTTTATGACTTCTGTGCCTTTTAACAGAATATTTAAGCCTTTAGATAATTTTAGGTAAATGTTTTTTCTCTCCTCTCCTCAGGTGTCGCCTGCACTTTGCTGTTGATCTACATGTTCTGCACTGACTGCTGGCTTATCGCTGCCATTTACACCGCCTGGCTCATCATTGACTGGAACACCCCAAAACAAGGTAATACATTTTAAAGATGTCAAACAAAAATAACTGTTACCTAATAATTCAATTTTGACCCATTGTGAAGAAAAAATCACTGAACTAATGATGGAATTTAAAAAATTTGAAGGCATGATGTTTGAGAACTGGTCTGATTTTTCTCCAACCTTTAGTTGGATGATGCGTTTTTGAGTCTAAAAATGTGAACAACTGAGACTGTATTATCTAAGCATTGGGTGACATATTTTGCAGGGGTTAGCACTAACAAACACAACCATTATGTTTAGCAACAGTTTAAGTATTTGATCTGTGGTTTAAGTAATTCATCAAACAATAACGATAGACATTCACTTGTGACGATTTGCTTCTTTTCTCAGTGATAAAAATGGAGAAACCTTTGGTTTTTAGGCCAATAAAAGAAGCAATTTGAAGACGTCACCACGGGCTCTGGAAAATGGCTGTTGTATTTTTTTTTTTTCTCATAGCTTATAAACTAAATGATAAACTGATTACACATTATATTTTTGATTATAAGAACATGGCAAGTATAGAAAAAAATGTGAACCTACCCTTTAATCTGTTGATTTTTTAAAAATTTTTTTCAAATGTCAGAGCCCTCTGTAACCTCTTAAGATTAACAAAAAAAAAAAAAAACACCAAAAGAGTTTTTATATATATATATATATATATATATATATAGAATATAATAACAGTAGCAGCAAATCGTCACATCAGAGATGCTGGAACATCAGTGACAAAAACGGTTGTAATGAACATGGGGAAATGTCAGAGTTGAATTAAGACTGACTTTAAACAAAGATTGAGCCTGTCCTTTAATCGCTGATGAAGTTGCAGCTCTAGTTTTAATGCTCTGAGATCTATAATGTGTAACGTTCTCCTCAGGTGGAAGGAGGTCCTCCTGGGTGAGGAACTGGACCGTTTGGACGTATTTCCGAGATTACTTCCCAATCAGGGTAAGTTGCTTGGTCAGTTTTATGTTCTACTGTTGCTGATTTATCAGCCACCAGTCTTTAACATCAAGAGCAGAGCAGAGGAATGGAGGCTTGGAAACCTGTTCGACTCTTGATGAGAAAAGTCAGGACTGTGTGATTAAGTTAGTTCAGCGATTTCTAGTCATGCGCAGGTTTGACATATAGATAACCGTATCAGGGGTGGATCCGTCTGCTCCATGCTGTTCCTGGTTGATGAGGGCATGACGCAGGTTGAGACTTTTAGACTTTGTCCAGCCTGGTAGACTAAGGAGCAGTGCTAAGCTTGATTTGTCATCAGGTATTCCCCTGAGCATCTTTTAGATGAGGACAACCCTGGACACACACACTAACACACACATACACACACACACGCACGCACGCAGGGACAGCAGCTGTACATGATTAACTGTCACTGCAGAAGCCGAATGTGTGTTTAAAGAGAAGATGGGTCCTCTTAGATATTCTGCATGACTCAGTCAGTAGTCATAGGTTTTTATTGAATCTCCACTTTTCTACTGACTAGAGCTGCAGCGACTGGTCAGTTAATCAATTAGTCAATCACCAAAAAATAATCAGTAAATATTGTGGTAATAAATGAAAAGTTTTAAGTGACTTTCAAACAAAAAATGTCAGCACATTCTCTGGTTCCAGCTTTTCCTTTATGTTTTATATCATTTTAAACTGAATATCTGTGGGTTTTGGACGTTGGTCAGAAAAAAAAAAAAATCCATTTGATCTAACACTTAGGACCTGGGGATAATGTGATGGAGATTTTTTAATGTTTTATGATATTTTAATAGAGGAAATGATCGATCAATTAATAAAAAATCAAAAATCAAGAGATTAATCAATGATAAAAATAATCATTAGTTGCAGCCCTAGCACAAACAGATATTGTACTTACGTAGTATCACTGTAAGTGCAGTCACCTACAATGAACTGATCATGTAAAAAAAAAAAGTATTTAGCATTTGTAAAAGCTCATTTGTATTCCTCTCTGTTAGTGGATTAGCTGTGCTTTGTTCGTCTCTCCTCAGAATGCGAATGAAACACGTCTCATGTGATTCCATCATTTCTCCACTGGCTGTGTTTAAATGTATAAAATCTGAAGTGGCCACTGTGCTCAGGTAGTGATGAGTTCATCTGTACTGAGAGTGGAGACTAAAGAAGGCTGCAGAATAACTAACAGAAGTTAGTTATTAGCAGGACTTCAAATGAAGTTAGTTATTATCCACTAATATAAACTGAGTTGTGGAGATGAAAGTTTATCTGTGAAGTTTGAAGTGAAGCTTTTACTGTCTCAAAATAACCAGGATATATCTACTGGGGCATCAGCTGTCTGTAGGGCAAGTATTCTCTATCTATCATGAACCTATGACTATTAATTATGTGAGTTGGAAGCCGACTGGTCAAAGTCTGAACCACTCTTAAGTGAGGACAGAGTGTGACTGTTACGTGAACGTGAAGTCTCTAGACACAAAGGCTCCTCTGTAATATTAGGGCAACCAGTGAGTCTTGTCTTGCCTCCAGCTCTGTGCTGTCTCCTAAGTAGGAAAGGTGTCAAGTGCAGCAGTCTTCCTGATCCCACTGTAATCCTTCACATCTGCCATGCCAGTCAGGTGATGTCCTGCGGTACTATGGGGATCTTGAATGTGAGCTCCTTTTGCTAATGTGGTTATGCAACTGTTGTGTTTGACTTGCTACCGAGGGGAGCTTTGTGTACACATTGTGATGGATCTAAGTCTACACTGCAGATCAGCACACTGTTAGAGTGAGATGTTGAAGTAATGCTGAATGGTTAAGATTGTACTTTATTGCTGCCAGTCTGAACAGGTGCACGTCATCTTTACTGGGTCATTGTTTTATGACTGTACTTGATCAGACAGAGGAATGGTGTCAGGTTTGAGCTGATACAGATGTCCTATTTCTACAAAAACACAATAATAATGATAATATAAGCATTTATTGAATAGCACTTGGTAAAGAAACATATAACATATATAAAAACAGTAAAACAACTATGGAATTAGGACACTGCTTCTGTCCTCGAGCCTTTTTAGCCACTCTCCTGTCAGATGTTCCCGGTCTGTGAGCACTGTGTCCCTCATATTGAAATCAGCCCCTCACTGGTTGTCTTTGTGCTCTTGTCCCTCAGCTAATTAAAACCCACAACCTGCTGCCCAGCCGGAACTACATATTTGGCTACCACCCACACGGCATCTTCTGTTTCGGTGCTTTCTGTAACTTTGGCACCGAGGCCACTGGCTTCTCCAAGAAATTCCCGGGCATCAGGCCCTCCCTGGCAACCCTGGCGGGAAACTTCCGCCTGCCCGTGCTGCGAGACTACCTGATGTCTGGAGGTGAGATGATGTGGAAAAACCGTGAGGTCTAGTTTGCGCTCTTGAAACTTCTGATAACAATGAGTGTATCTGCCAGAGACCAGACCTTTGTCCTGTTGCACAGCTGATATATCCTCTGTTTACTTTGATGTGCTGACTTCACTTATTTTTAGAGGTTTAGCTGTTCTGTTCTAAGGGGCTCTGTACCCATAGATACCATACATACACTCTGAGGTTACTGTAGGTTATTGTACCTGTTGTTTCATTGGTAGATAACCCTCATTAGTTTATCTCTGTAACCTTTTGGTGATAATGAGTAATGCAGCAGTCTTCTCAGAAAAACTTAGTTTTGGCTGCAGTGAGTCAGGTTTTTGCACGTGCAGAATGTGGTTAGTTAAATTCTGCTTTGGTAATAGACTGGTGGACATACAGCAATGCATTAAGTACAAGAAAGAGTCCAAACACACTAATAATTATATTTGCAGGCATCTGTTGACAAGGTCTGGAAAGACTGCAAAATATTCTTATAAAAATTACAGTCCATCTGACTTTTGGCCCCCACTGTTTACATTAAAAGACAACATCATACTTGTGCAGTATTAAAAATCTAAAGAGATCCAATAACTTTATAAATTTGCCTTTTGAGCACTGCTAATTTACTGCAGTTTTAATTATCTTTCATTTTTTCTTTTTCCTCTCAGGTATATGTCCGGTGAACAGGCACTCTATCGACTACCTGCTGTCACGTAACGGGACAGGAAATGCCGTGGTTATCGTTGTCGGAGGAGCAGCGGAGTCTCTGCACTGTACACCAGGGATGAACGCTGTCACCCTGAAGAATCGTAAAGGCTTTGTGAAGCTGGCCCTGCAGAAAGGGTGAGCTGGCTGCACAACACTCAGACACAAGGATGCACGCGGCTGCAGCGATTAAACATAGCCTTGACCAAATCTGTTTTGAACATTTAAATGTCAGTCTCAGGGCCATAGTGACTCACTGGATTTATTAAAAGCCTAGATTATTACTCTCAGTAAAGGTTGAAATAACCTCACAGAGAGAGTTACCAAATCTGTTATGAATGTGCAGTGTTGTCCCTCATGAAGCTTGGAGCTCCTCGTGGCATGCAGTACCCTTTTGGAAGGGTTGCTGAGCTGCCATTTGGCTGTGTATTGATGGCTATAAAGAGAAGTGGACCCCGGTTTGTCTTGCTAACCCAAACAAGCCCGATTCCCTCTCAGATATAGCTGAGGATTATCACTGCGTGCACCTTGTCCAAAGAAGCTTAGAGCTTGTTAGAAAAAACATGCAGTTATGCAGAACTTTATTCATAACAGCAAGGTTTGCATTCCTGCTGAAATAAGCCTGCGCTGTGAATTAAGGGCATTTTCTGGAACATTTACAGCTTTGTTTTTAATGCTTATAAAATCGAGATGGATGTAGAAACCAGTTGTATAACAAGGGACACTCAAACTATTGTATGGGTAAAATAGAGTAAATATATAAATCATACAATTAATTATTCAGGTTGCTATCTTTAAATTAAATTAAAAATTCCAGCAGTGAAAATTAATATTCGATTGTGGGGAAAAAAAGCAGCTGTCTGACTCGTGACTTCTTGCATGGGCCTGGGTCTCTGCACTGAATGCACAGCATAACAGGCTGGAGTCACACAGCATCACATACACTGATTGAAAATGACATATATATCAAGCTGAAATGAGCAAATACTTCAGCAACAACTGTATGATAATGATGACTGAGAGAGCGAGTTGTACTCAGAGCAATCTAAACAGCCCTGTTGTGAAATGCTTCCAATTTTGGTCACTAGGCGGCAAAATTGTGGAACCTCGGGATAAAGTTGTTTACAAGCTCTGTAAGCTACAGTTAGCCTAGCCTACCATTCCAGCACTAACAACCTGAGGCCACATCTGGATAATATGCACCCCAATGAGCAACTATACAAGTAGTTATGTCCACAAGAGAGGAAACCAACACAACAAGAGACATAATGCAAAAAAAAGGGTTTTCAAATGGTTTGAACCTTTTTGTGTTTTTCAACATTTCAACGTCACTTTTGGCCAATTTTGACAGCACCAGTACAGGATAGTGGCCAAACTCAAGATCCCATGAAGTAGTTGCAAGATGATCAACAAGAAAAAAAGAACAAAAGCTTTTTTCTGCTTTAATAAAATTATCTTTATTTTTTATTATAGTTGAGGTGCCTCTTTTTTCTTATGCTTTGTAAGGTATTAGACAGTTTTAGCTCTTTGGGCTTTGAATAGTATTAAAACAAAAGTAACTCTGAAGTGCTGACAGCTCATAGAAATATGTAACCTTTGAGAGGTGGTGAGTTGACTTTGCTTCCTTTTTAAGGACCAAAATCCAAAAAGGTTTGGAACCACTGGTGTTGAGAACGTTCTAAACAAGGACTGGTTAATGTGAAATTATTAAAAATATCAAGTGGTAATAGTAAACCATAATGAAAATAAGACTTCCAGAAGATTTCTAGGTAAAAAAAAAATTTCCGGATCGGCTGCAGGTGTAAGTAGATTTAAGGGACAACAATCCACAATGTTTCCTGATTGAATAAAAACTTTTTCATAATTGCTATGTCTAACAAAAATCAAAAACTGGGCTGTTCACCAACCGTAACGCTGAATATAGACCTACATAGAAATGAGTGATGTCTCTTGCCTGCTACCACAAATGGGAACTTCCACAGTCTGCCTATGTTACCAGTTACCACCACACCTAAAATGATTTATGATGATTAGCACAAACCAGTGGCGTAAGGAGTCTCTTACAGTTTTAAACATTATGTTTTTAGATGAGATAGTCCTTCGGATGCTACGCTGCACACAGAGTTCTTAGTGTGTCCAAACAATCAGTGCTTTACATTTAGGGGAACGTTTGCTGACACCTCCTATGTTTCCCCCTCAGGTCCGACCTGGTCCCAGTGTACTCCTTTGGAGAGAATGATGCCTACAAGCAGGTGATCTTTGAGGAGGGAACTTGGTGGAGAGCTCTCCAAAAGAGATTACAGAAGATCTTAGGCTTTGCCCCATGCCTTTTCCATGGATGTGGTCTCTTCTTTGGCAACTCCTGGGGCATTGTGCCTTTCTGCAACCCCATCACCACCATAGGTAAGTTTTTCTGCTAATGTTTGGTTTGAGTGTACGATCAGATTTGAAGAGGTACAGGTTAGAGTTATCTTTACTTTGACTACAATCCTCAAAAACTCTGTTGTATTAGTAAAGTTCATTACAGGACAGTGACCACAAATTTATAAATATTAGCTTCTTCCAGTCTCAGGGGAATATCAATGGTTAACACTTGTCACTGGTTATAACAATTTCAACCTGAGTCTGTTTGATTGGCTTTGTGTTTTAATCCTCCCTTTTTTCTAATTTTTTTTTATTATAGTTGGGGAGCCAATCACTGTGCCAAAAATCGAAGACCCAACAGAAGAGATAGTGAATCTGTACCATGCAATGTACATCAAGTCTCTCCAGTGCCTTTTTGACAAGTACAAGACCCGCTTTGGCCTGAAAGAGAGCGACGTCCTGTACATCCAGTGAAACAATGGCGGTGGGCCTTGTAGAAGCTCTGAACTGTGGCAGCACCTTCAGATCCCTCCGCCCCCCCCACCCTCCCACCCCCCGCCCGATCCTGGTGCCCAGGTGGGATTACCTCTGGACTGCAAACTCTACACACGAGCATGTTCGCTGCAGAAACCTTTGCTCTCTGCGTTGCCTCTCTCACAAACACATAAGCATACTTTTCTTCTCAGGAAATGGCAGGTTTGAAGAATAGTGGCCTCTCCCTGTTGCTGGCACCAGCTTAAACAGTCTTTGGATGGACAAAGTTACACAAAACGTGTGCCTTAGTAGTTTCCATTTCCATTTTCTCAGTCGATCAAGTTCGGACTATCTTATCTGTGGTGCTGGTGGTTGGAGGGGATGGGGCGGTTTCACTAGATGGAGCTAGGAAGGTAACATGCAGAACTTTAAAGAAGTGCCAATGTTTTCTTTCACTCATGCATTCATATAATTTTCCCCAAGCTCTTTATGATCCTGTTCTACACTAAATGCACAAACAATGCAAATGGAAAGTGCCACTATTTTTGGGATAATAAGCCCAAAGGTTAATTGAGCCAAAGACCTATGTTGTCCCCACACATGCATGTATTTCTACTGTATGAACGAGTGCCTGTGATTGTATAATGCCATAAAGTATTAATTGTATTCTGTAGAGAGGAAAAGCCTATTTTAGTGCTTTTCCCTCCAATGAATATTTCTGATGCACTTTTCTTTTTGCTGATTTACCTTCTGAGGGTTTTGTCTCAAATGCCTTTGATACGAGATTCTTTCCAAGACAGCCATTGTGCTTGTTGGCTTGATTTCCCTTTCTTGTCCCACAGGTCCAGGTCTGGATGGGTGTGTTCTGTCTATGCAGCAGAACTACAGCACATATCTTGTATGTTAGCCAGCTAGCTAAAGTTCTGAGCTGAGACTGAAGAAGATGAAGTAGTTTTGTGAGTGAAAATGATTCCAGCGTTCTGCGCATCACTTTGTAACCATTCCATGGGTGATAACTGAAAGGATTACACGGGTAATTCCTCATTACTGGGAATAAGTTATATTTGAGGGTGTCACTAGTACTTATGTAAAATAAGAGATGAGAATATAGGTGGAATCATCAAAATAAGCTTGTGTCATGTTGATCGGCTTGAAGATGGGCAGTAAATTATTGGATTGTCATTTGATGTTCTCACGGTTGTGACTTCCTCTGAAGAGCTGGGTGATCCCTGTGCAATAAATTTGCAAGCAATAAACAGTGAGACCTATCTGTGATGAATGGCATCATCTGTCTGCTGATATTTAAATTAAACTTTTGTATGTTTTCAGAAGGACATGTTTGTGTCGTGTCTTGTCTTTTGAGACTTTTTCTAATGCTACATCTTGTTCACACATTTACCTCAGAAGACATCCGTCATTTGAATATGACAATTATACAATTATACATACAAATACAAATTAACTTAAGTAGCTGTACAGACGTTAAAATCATCTTATACCATGATGTTAGGCTGTATTTTATTTGTGTATATACGTATATATATACATATATATATATATATATATATACGTGTGTGTGTATGTATGTGCAGTATTTTGAAGATGCAGTGTCTGATATTTACTCAGCCCAATATTAAACCCAGGACTCCATGGTTCTAAGACTACATCATTCCATCAAATGGAAATATTCCAGATCATTTCAGATAATTTATTGAAACTGTAAATAAATATAAATATAATATTGTCTGTGTTTGAAAACAGTTTGGCTGCACAGCATGAGTTTGCACTGGCTCATGATCAGGTCAGTGAGATTTGAGCATAACAACAACTAAACACTAAAACTGGCTGTAGCAGAAGTACCCAGATCCTTTACTGAAATAAAAGTAATATTACCACAATCTAGAAATAAAAGTAAGTATAGCATTCAAAATTTTATTTTAAAGTAAAGCAATATTACCAATGAAATGTACTTAAAGGCCCTTTACAGAGTGTTATTATTGGATTATTCTTAAACAGCATTTTCATTTTATAGGTTAGCCTGTGCATATTCTCATTTGTCCAGGTGATGGTATCCTAAAGGAGTTTTAAATCAAAACGCAACTGGACTTGATTATTTGTCTGGGAAGACGTTTCACCTCTCATCCAAGAGGCTTCATCAGTTCGTTCGGCATTTTATAGGTTATAGCTTTGGGTTGGAGCCAACTCATAATAATTATTATAAATTGATATGTAATTTTATCTATGACAATCCATCATATTTTATAGTTGATAATGTCTTGGATGAAAAATCTTAATTTTGCAAAATAACTGAAATAAATGTAGTGGTGTAAAAAGTACAATATTTCCCTCTGAACTGTCGTAGAGTGGAAGTAGAGATTAATAGAAAGTGGAAATACTCACACAAAGTACAAGCCCCTCAAAACTGTTCTTAAGTACAGCTGTTAAGTAGGCCTAAATGTACTTATTTCCTCCCCTGGAAACTGGTCAATATTGAGATTGATCCACGAAGAAAGAAAATGATCAGTATAAAATATGATAGGGCAATCACAGAATCAACTATTTTTGAATTTCTTATTTTGTTCTACAAACAGGCAGGACCTGTATTAAATAGATGAGTCACACAAGAAGCATCAAGCAATCAACTCTTTTGTAATGTCCAATGACACTGTGGAAACGGATCACCTGGATGTGGCTGATGCTGCCCCCTGATGGTTGCTTCATATTCTGTAGTCAGGGTGATAAAGACGTGCACAAATATAGCACAGTAGTAGAGGAAGTAGAGTATCCAACAGTGGCGGAAAGACAATACATTTACACAAACACTGTACAATTTTGAGGCATTTGTACTTGTGTTTTTTCACATTGTAATCTTTAATACTTCTACACTACTACTTTGCAAAAGGAAGCATTATACTACACATTACAGACACATTTCCATATAGAACATATGATCATCTTACAAAATATGATACTTCTTGTACATTTAACAACCCAACTGTATATAAAATAGTTATAGCCTAATTTTCTCCACCTTAATTGCAACATTAATAACAACATTACAATGCTGCTTAAAGGTTATTGCTTCAGTTATAATAATAATCCAACAACATAATATAGCTCATTACTTCTTGCTCATTATATGAAATAATATGAAAGGGATAATTTGCATTGTGGGTACTTTTACTTTCTTACATTCCTAGGATCCAGGAGCCTCTTGAGATCCTATAAAATAATTCAATGTTACTGAGTCTAAGTCACAGACACAAACAGAGAACTCAATGCAGAACTTATCGATCAGATGTCTCACAATCAGTACCAGTGCAGCCGAGGCCACCTCTTTTATTTGCCGTCGGTTCATGGTCTAATGTGTGTGTACTTTGAGGTCAGAGGTTGACGAGAGCCCCCGATGTAGCCAGTACAGTATGATTTTGAATTGTTTTCGTCACTTTTTGAACTGGTTCTGATGGAGATTGTAAATAAGAAATGACTTGATGAAACTGATGAAACAGTTTAACTGTCACCTGCATGTCACGTTGTGCTATGCAACTTCCTCATATTTTGCAGCTTTGACAGATTTCAACGGTCGCCTGCCCCATTCTGGAAGATAAACAGATAAAACAACCAATAGTAACACGGATTTTCAGTAATAGGACCCGCCTCTACATGATGGACGTCAGTTTAAGCCAATCAGTAGCCTGGCTGTCGCGCCTCCCAACCAGAGACGGATTTCCGAACCAAGTGTAGCAAATAGCCTGTACTTTGTTTACGTCCCGTTGGTTAGCTGACAGCTGTTGTAGCGCTTTCCCCACACAAACAGCCGTGTCTGCATGCCTCTGGTGGGTGTCCGGTGCTTCGTAAACTTTCGAACGACTATCCTGGATGTCGAGGATGGGATGTTTTGTTGAATGAAGGGGACCCGTTAGATGCCGACAGGAGGATGAACTCCATCACCGGTCGGGTTCTCGCCATCCCCGCCGCCTCTGTCACCAACTCTGGAGCTTCATCCTCTCGAGCCTTACATGTAGAGCTCACATCCCAGCAGGTAAATGCAAAGCCCCTGAGCTCATGTTGATACCAACTGCATTCAAATGAACCCAGGAAATCGTGGACCGGCGGCCTCAGTGTGTTATGTACTAGTTTGCAACGTCAGTTACAACTGCTGCCCGGAGAAACACGGCAGGCCTGTCAGGCTAGCTAGTTAGCTAACAACTGCTAAGTTACAGTTAGCTAGCAGGAAATAAATGTAGCCAATTGGACTGACAACCCAGACACTGAAATCACTTTGGCTGATGTTGGGCATTTCTGAGCTCGACTTTTTCGGTGCGTTGCCCTATTTTGACCTTATATATCATGCTATACCTTTAAAGGTGTAAGAAGCTAGTATGCTGCTGCTAATGGTAACCTAACTTGGCGTTATGTCAGCACCCAGATGACAGCTCAGTTGAAGGGAAACGTACATATGTCATTACAGTGCTGGTGTTTTGTCTCATAGAGCTATTTTATTGTGATTTAAAATGTCTAGATTGTGTAATAATGTCATTTATACTTGGATAAGTTGTGGGATTCTTTAGAAACCTGAAAAATGTGTCTTCTATTCATTCATTCATTCATTTAGACATGTGACAAGTTGACAGTTAACTTCAGTCCTCTTCAGGAAACAAAGCAGTACAGTATGTTGCACCACATTCACTGCAAAGATGTTAAAATAAGTTGACTTAAGTAAACAGTGAAACTCTAAGTGCAACTCTAAAATGATCATGATTAAAAATCTCCTGTGCAAGCAAAACCATGCTTTCATCAAGCTGTCCTGCTGGGTTTTGCTACCACTATTGGTGGGTTCATCATGTGGGTGTCAGTGACACAGCATGAAATTCAGCCTTCTCTGCTTTGAATGACCTACTCCATATATTGTAGAAACTGATGGAGAGGAAAGTAAAAATTATATTTGGTGTACAATTTAATTTCTTGCACCAGTAAATCTAACTCTTTGAGCCTTGTACTTTGTGTAGGTGTATAATTGCATTAGATGGACATTTAGATTATATCGTTAGTGTGTGTGTGTGTGTGTTGATTCAAACTGTGTCAATAATTCACTAAATGAAGTTAACATATGCTATTCTTATTTATATAGGTTACTAATTGTGCCACTGGCCCACTGCCTCACAGTATCACATACAATGAGAGCTAAACTCAGGAGAGATGACTTGTGTTGGGAGTTTCTACTCAGTATTTGTGAATGACTTATGAAGTTTGATCACAAACCTGGTATGAAAACTGTTATTTTTTATTGAATAAAAAAGAAGCTGTACCTTCAAAGTTGCAGCACTTACAACCAAAGTCCCCACCAATCACAAGTGATGGGTTTGAGCCTGCTTTGATTCACTGGTTTGTTATTTATTTTATTCCAAAAGACAAAGGTATGGCCCAATTGATGGTATACAGTGATAAATACAATAAGTGTGAATTTTGAATATTGAACAACATAGTCCAGATTAGTCAAGTGAGCCATAATTGGAAATCCTGAGGATTATTTTATTATTTAAAGAGATACTTTGAGATGTTATCTGCTTAATTTGACAATAGGTTGAAATACGTGGAGGATGCTTCTTTGAGATAATAGCAGGACTGGACAGCACTTAGCAGGCAGTTGCTTAAGTAAGGAAGTAGGATATATTCCAGGTCTTTTGTATTAGACCATTAGATTAACCTAGGTGTCCCAGAAAAACTGGAATTAATTAAACCTTGAAAAAGAATTAATGAACTCAATGTACAGTAATGTGCGTACATCCATTCTCTTTCGAGTTGTCGTTTCATATCAGTTTTCTGTTTAGAGAATCCCCTCCATGTGAAATTTGGCTCTGTTTCACTAAGTACTTTAAGCCAGAGCTTAGATTTAGTTTGCTCTGAAAAGTTTCTAAAGAAATGGATTGTTTGTGTGTTACTGAATTACAGATATTCAGCAAAAGGCTTGTGACCAGCTAATCATTTTGTCACATACCACCATCAGACGTTCTTTGATCATTTTATGACATGTGGTCAACTAATGCGGAACCTAACTTTGATCTTTGTCCAAACCTGGAGTTAACAATAAAAGAGGAGAGGCTGACCCACCATTGTAGTTTTATACTGTACATGTACTCACAATCATTCCCTGTGGTCCACATTAGCCCACTTAGAAATGTACACTAACATTTTTAAGGGGTGTGGGAGGGTGGGGGGGGTGGGGGGGTTAAAAGTCCTGTGTGGAACAATCACTGTTTTTGTTTCTGGGGCCCTTAATCTTAAAGGGAATCCCATGACTTAGATTTAGTCTCAGTATGGCTGCAGGAGAGAGAGGCTGGGCCTCCAGGTCAAGGGAGAAGTTGTGCTGTGGTGACATGTTTGCCTGAGGCGGGAACTTGCTAGATGCCTACTCTGTGCCTCGTGTGTGCCCGTACACACACACACACACACACACTTATACTTTAACTAAAAAGTAGAGGCTTGTGAAGTCTTTAAATTTTGAAGTGACGCAGATGTTGGTGGATTGTCTGAACTGTGCTTTACTGATATGCTTTAAGATGAACTGATATACTGACCTCTGTTGTGTGTGGAAAGTCACATGTTTATAAATGATGGCTTTTCTATTGGTGTCTCATTGTGATTTGTGGATTCTTGGATAAATCACTTTAGAGCTGATGTTCATTCATTTCTCATGTGACTATCATGACTGACCATGCCTGACAAGTTAACCGGCCACTTAGTTGTACCATGAAATTGTGATTGTCACAGCTGGTGTTGCCTCTGTGCCTGAGAAATAACTGCTATTTCTGGCTGGTTCTACATGGCATGGACAATGTGATACTTCATTGATCCCTGTGGGCGTTCTTTTTCACTTGTCCTGGGACCCAGTAAGGGTTCTGTGTCTTCAGAGCAGCATAGTATTTGTCCACAGCCATCACATGATCAGAATAAAACTGAGCAGCTCTGGTTTCTGTTTTTTGTATAATATACATATTTTATAATATTTATTCTCTATCTTTCCTCACTCTCTCTCCATTTCTTTCCACATCTTCACCTGCTAAACAGAGACGATTGCGTCATCTTCGGAGCATTGCAGCCAGAAACATTGTCAACAAGAATGGTTCCCCACTGCTGGACACATACTTCACCCTCCACCTCTGCATAGGAGACCGCATATCTCGAGGTCAGTGTGACCACCCATCCCACACACACCTGCCACCCTCTCACTCCTCTGTGTGAGAGCTGACAGTGGGTAACATTTCATGGTCAGTTATCTACGACCTCAGATGTAATAAATACATGTCAACTTTTACTATACATACAATATACATTATAGATCCCAGCACTATGTCATCCAAAAGGAGTATACTACACCTCATATAAACTAATGTAGCTACTACGTGATCAAAATAGTTAAGGTGGTCACGCCAAAAATTATCTGGTATCTCAAACCAAAGTATGATTATCTCTAACAGGGAAAACCACCTTAAAATAGAAATTATATACTATTGAAATGATTTTGATACAAAACTTTGTATCTACAAACACAAAATCTGTATCCCTAAGCTGAAAATGTTATCAGATGACACTTCGATCTGGGTCATGGACACAGAGCCAGTGAATGACTCTGTGAGCTCTGTGTTACCGTGTTGTTGTTTTTTTTAGGTAATCCATTCAGATACTTTTTTAAATGTGTGACTCCTGTGAATCAGGAAACACACACATAATCTAATACAGTTACCATGGTTGTTGTCAAAACATCCTCATTGTGTATGGAATCGTTTCCAGACTCTCTTACTCTAAATGACATGACAAGTCTTGTGTAACAGTTCTCCAGCAGAAACTGGTTTCAATTCACGAATTAAAGCTTTTTTAAATGATATTTTAGGGGAGATTTAACCCAGTTAATGATGCATGTGTTTGTTTTCCTTCTTTTAATCAACATTCTTTCATGTTTTTTTTTTTAGGTTTTTACAAGAGTGAAGTCATACGAGACTCACTGGTGAGTATACTGACTTAAACCTTCAGACTCTTAATGTCTGCCTCCTGGGATTGGCTCAGGATGTTGTCATTACCTGCGGCCTGCTGTTGCAGTGCGTGCTAGTGCACTGGTCATTACGTACGGTGCCATAATAAAGAAAGACAAGCTTCCTGTATTTCAGATGCCAAGGCATTTATACCTGCTGCCTATGTGCCAGTCCCACATGCAGCACTTTGGTGTTTGACTTGAAATGTCACTTAAACTGGTTTTCAAACATCACAATAACAGTGATGCGCTATGAAATATGCTTTGATGAATAAAATGTTAGACTTGGAGCTACATGAATTAAATATGATATGTGCTGTTGCCTTGTGGAACTCTCTGACAGTTAACAGTACAGTATGCTGCTCCACATTCAAGCATCAGTCAGTTTCTGCAAATGTGTAATTTATATGACATGAATAAATGTGTAAATTACCTGAAATTACTATGTGATATTTATGGCCATTCCCACGTCCATTTACGTGGCAGATGCAGCTTCACATGCAGCTTCACATGCAGCTATAGAAGCAGCCAGAGATAGCAAGCCATTAGTGTCAGGCCTGCTGCCTAGTCATGAGCTGACCTAAGCTGCTTTCCAGGCATACTGTTGAGTAACCTTGGCAAACAGACTGTAAAATGCACTTCTGTCATCTGTCAGCCCAGCTTCCTCCTGTTGAACTTTACGTCCTTGCTGACATTCGTTCTCTAGCATTCTGTCTCCTTCCTGTCATCGTTCATCCAGACAAACATTTCTGCTCCGTCTTCCTGTTTTCATTGTAGCTGCTATCCGTTCTGCTTCCGTTACTGACTCTCACTAGTTCTGCAGCCCCTAGGCTTTTGTAGATTGTACATTTGTCACCAGCCCGCCCTTGAAAGTGACCCAAAGACCAAGAGATATTCTCTCCGATGGAGGGAAATTGTACGTAATTGAATGATGTAAATGGCTACAGTGCTTTGTAGAAACAGTACTCAGTGCTGCCAGTCTGGTAGTTCAAGGGCAGAGAAAATATTGTAGAAGGGATCAGACTGTAAGGTTAATTTAGAACAGGATGATTCAATTACTCTTTTATGGATAGAGGTCACATTATAGCATTTGTCAGAGGCACCACACAGTTCTGCTTTCATACTTTGCTCTTTGCCTCCTCTGCATACACATAAAAAAAGATTCCCAGTCCTGTTTTGCCTTTACTTGTCTGACATAACAAGTTTAGCTGTTGTTTTATGTATTTCTTTGTAAGTGGGCTGAATTTCAAAGTCATTGTTGGGACTGTGTGGACTTACGTTTACGACTAAAATAAATAATCCACTGATTGTGCTGATGAGCTATTATGTCAAATGTTAACGTACTCTTATCCTCATGTGTATGTGTGTGTATCTTTCAGAATCCAACTTGGCGGAGCCTGGACTTTGGCATGCTGCCAGACCTTCTGGACACCTCTGTGTCTTGCTTTGTGGTGAGGATCTGGGGAGGACAGGAGGAACAGTATCAGCTCCTCATAGAATGGAGGGTCAATCTGGATGGCCTCAGATACACAGGACAGCAGGTCAGCAACCGCACAGTATACAATTCCTGTTTGGTAGGAAGTAAATACAGAATAGGGAGCTACTTTTAAAGTGGTCAGAGAAAAAAACCTATGAATCCCATTTTATACACATGGTTTGTTTTACAGTATTTTACAATTGTTTTTGCTCAGTTTTCACTGTTTCAATTTGTAAAACACTAAGCAGAAAATGGTATACATTGTATTATATATTAATTTAAACCCAAAATCTAACAAAGCATCACACAATAAGTTTATCAGAGTATCACAACATTGTTTATCACTGAAGAAATATTTTAAAATCAAACAGTTTCAAGGCAAAACGTCAACGTCAAAACAGTATGCAGTTCATTTCTTGAAGATTATACAAATAGCAATGAGAACAAATATGCAATCTATGCAGGAGTCAACATTTGAAATGACATATAGAGTAAGAATTACTTTTAAAAATGTTCATTTTATTTTTTTGTACATTCAGTTTATTGTAATATTATCTAGTTTAGAACCTGACTTCACGCTACAGTAAATCCTACATTCTTAACAGGTAAAATGTGAATGTAATTAACTGCATCAGTTCTATTTTAACCACAAAGTTTGTTTTTATTCAAGACACCAAACCTTTTTTTCCATCAAAGTGAAGTTATACACTGTTCAACATAGAATATGACTATAACAACCACCTCCACTACTGTAAGAGATACTCAATGAATTACAACATTTAGACAAAAAGCAAGAAATTGCATTTCTTTTTCCATTTGTTTCATACATTCACTATACATTTCAAATGTGTGGAGGTTTTGAGGAAGTAATTAGTAATTATCTACACAAGTTCAGCATTTTGTCTTTAAAGGTACATGCACATTGAACATTGAAACTCTGTTGTGAGGACTGAGCCAAAGCACTCACAAAATACACTAAAAGAAGTCAGTGTTATTGCCATTCTTTCACAGTGAGACTATTTTCAAAGCTCGTAAACAGATAGCACAGTCTCTCATTCACATCCAGATGCCGACTATCCTTTGTTCTCCTCGACTCGGTCTGCACAGTGAGCCTCTACTGCCTTGCTTTGTCCACAGATTCGATCCAGGAATCCCAATGAGATCATATTTGGATTGAATGATGGCTACTATGCAGCTGACTTTGATCATAAGGTACAGCCTTTTGTCCATTTTCCAGAGCTTCTGCATCAAAATGGAATACCCAATTCTAATCTCATTAGCTTTATTTTGGCCTATGCACTCAAACGCTGACATGTGGCTGTTGCAGGATCAGTCGGAGCGGAAGAAAAACAGTCTGCTTCAGGTCGACCAGAGTTCAGTCAGGAACTCCTACAGCGTTTTTTCTTTGCTCAGGTAAGATTCATGCCATACAGCAGTATTACATCATATTATCATTTCACTAGGCCTCAGTTTTCAACCATTTCCTATAGAGTCATTTCTCTCATGTGCAGTGGATTTCAACTACTTACAAAGAATGTTTACAAAATATTTAGTTTATTTTAAACCACATGTAGTTTCTTCGTTCATTCTTTGCATTATTGGTCATATGATTAGACTTCCTGTTATTTGTGTGGCATTTTTATTTTGAGCATTTGTTGTCCAGCAGATGGTGCCACAGGAAAGCCAACATTTAGACCTGTCACCAGGGAAGCTCTGCGGGGCTCCAACTTTATTTAAGGCTGAAAAGCCTCCAGTCCACACTGTATTTTCCTTGACACAATGAGACAAACTGTTTATATATTTATATGGAACCTTTCAAGGAGTTTGTCCCTATTAAGGCCCCTAATCAACAGGCCAGTATCACACTTGGGATTGTGATTTTCATGCGAACGAAATACTTGATGATGTTGAGTGTAATGGTTGCAATACAAATTTACACCACAAGAAGGAGACAGGGATTTTCTGAGTGACTTGCTTGTTAGTAGGAGAACCTCAGTACAGTAATTAAGAGCTTGAGACGACACAGAGCAGTGATGGCATCTGTTGACAAACATACACTCGCTGTTGTTTGTTTATATTTAGTTGTGGTAGTATGTAAACACTAGTTTCAAAATCACCAGGGCTTCCCCAAGGGAAACCCACTGTTAACCAAATCCTGATCACATAACAACATAATTACACCCAGTTTTGTCTAAATAAATGTATATCTGGAAGGTTCAAGTTAGACACTGCCAAAATAAGATAAGGATCCTGTCATTAGGAGCATTCTGAAGGCTTCAGCTAACATTTTCCATCCATAAGAATTAGATAGGGGGATATAAATACGTCACAGGCCTTTGATGCGTCAAGAAAAAGGAGTTATACCAAAGCGGGCTGAACTATAACAGTACTCCTTCATCTAGACGTGGTCATGGTGTATGTTTATGAGAGGAGACTATTACCTCTCCAGCAGCTTGCAAGAAAAAAAAGCTCAGTTTGAATCATAACTTTTATGTCCCCTGCTCTTACTACTTCTATTATTGCAGCCTTCCTCCAAATCCTCTTCTTCTGTCCACACCCAGTGGGACTCTGCGGAGTTTAACACACTTACATTGATCCCCCTCTTCCCTCACGCTGCTCTGCCTGCAGCTCCTTACCCCTGTCAGAGTTTTTCCTTGGCTTAGTGAACTCATATGCACATGGTTTATGATAATGTACTCTAGAATGATTCATCAGATATCATACACTCCGACAGGGATTATCCTCCCACCCCCATGGTATATAACCAGATATTTACCACTTAGTTTCTGACCTGTAGAGCTCTGAGCTCTCTTTTACAAAGTGTATTAACTTTCTGAAGCATTCAGGCGCCGCTCAGAAACTTGTTGCATGTGGAAATCTCTGCTTTTGTTATTGCCTCACCTGCTTGGTTGCACACATTGATAGATTACATACAGCATTCATGTTTATATGCCACTGGCACTGCTCCATGCTCGCTGCATTATCATCTAGTAGGGTGAAAAATAGTGTTCTCATTTTGTCACTTAATTACTTCCACCAAGGAGTTTTCACCTGTGTCTGTTTGTTGGTTTGTTCGTGTTTTTGTTTATTTGCAGGATTACGCAAAAAGTTCTGAACCGATTTGCACCAAGCGTGGTGTAGGGATGGGGCATGGGAAGTGGAAGATTCCATTAAATTTTGGTGTGGATCTGGTTACAGCAGCAGATCCAAGAATTCTTTTTTATCACTTTCCTCAATGTTTCCCAAGAAATAATGTCTGTTTTTTTTGATGTAAGATACTAATCCATATAAGAAAGTGCTGAATCCACATAACACATAAAGTTCTATTTTTTATTAATAGCAAGTCATAGCGCATGTGGCACCAGCAGCATTTAGGAATGCATCCATCAGTATTTAATTTAACATGCAACTTGCACAATAACAACAGCGGTTGCGACATAGCAACGAAGCATTTCATTGAGCTGTAGAGCTGTGTGAATAGTATAATGCTGACGTCATCATTGCACACAACAGGTAATAAAAGCACACAGCTATCTTGCATAAGGATTAAATACAATAAATAAATAAAGCTGTACTTGAGAATAGAAGATGTGTAGGATTGTTTGGCTTGGGCGGAGGTATGCGCTCTGCTGAGTGCCATTCTAGTTCTTATTGTATTCATCCTTGTCCAGAGAATTTGGAGGAAATGCCTTTTTTTTCCCTCCAAGAACAGTGATGCATGTCCCCAAGGGACACCCACAGTGTCAGATATTCTCACCCAACTCTCTCCCATCATGCCTTGGCCCAGTGCAAAGCGTCTTTCTCAGCACAGTGCTTTAATGGAAAAGGATGAGAGCTGCTTCGCTAAGAATGCACTGATCTTGATTAATGACGGTAATTTGTCAACAGATTCACAGTCTGTTTTTCTGCCTGGCTCCGGCTGACAACACCCCTCACTTGTGTGAGTAACATGGTGATGTGGGCTAGCAAACACAACACATCTCAGATGGAGAGATGAAGAGGGAGCGTACAGATCATCAATCAGCAAGCTGTGAGATAGAGGTTGAGCCACATCTTACAGGGAGCTGGGCCCCTGCCTGCCTGGGTAGAAAGAAAGCCAAGACAGTGACGAAAATGATCCTGCTGTTCAACGAAGCTGCTTTTTTTCCCCTTTTGCAGAGACGATTAACACAGGTTCAGGTCTGCCTCAGCCCCCCCAGTTATGTTTCTATATCTTACCAGAGAAAGACTTGATGTGTGAGCAGTAAGAGAGCTAGGAAGACCTGATAGGACTGGTGGTAGAATTCACTTCCTGTCATCATATGACTGAGCTGCATGTTCCACTAGTTGGATATAAACAAAAAGAAGAGGCTGGGAGAGTGGGCTCTCTTCCACTTTATAATAGTTAGAGGCGATCTTTTATGGCCTAATGTGTTTCTGAATATCACATGGAAGTGGTGGGTAGGTGGAAGTATTTCAGTAGCCCCACAGTCCTTACTCATAACTTAGTGTTTATAACATCAACAAAACTATTGTGGATGCTGAATGTTGAATTTTCAGGTCCATAGTAACAGTCCCATGTGACACTTGTTAAACATTCTTGTGGCACAACTTTCACAGTTCAGCAGTGTGACATTGCAGATTAAACCTGTCTCGAACTTCTGGAGCTTAAAGGGGAAACTTTCTTTTTTCTCTCTATGATCAAAGCCATATGTTGCCTATGTTTCCTGATTTGCTTGTGTATGCTCCTTAGTGGAGTACGCTTGTATGTACAGTCTGTGTCAACAGAAGCAGTGCGCTGTGATGCTGAAGCTCTGTGGGGGGTCTTTCATGCCCTAGAGGCTGTTGAAGTTGTAATGCCTTCCTTCAGGTAGCCCCAGAGGTCTACTTGCCTCCTGGTTGGACGCCGCGGTCAGAGCTCTCAGCCGCAGGTTGTTGTTGTGGTCCCGTGCTAAAAAGGCAGCTAGACTGGAGTATATGGCTGACCCTGGGGTCTCAACCAGCAGCGGCCAGGCTACAGAAAGAAAACTGACTTCCTAAGCTTTAAACCACCGTGCCGATATGGATGTGAATGCTCCTGTTTTCACTTCACACCTCTGAAGTGGACTTCAGAATCAAAGTAACACCCATATATAATCTAACTTAAGAGGTGGTCTTGGGTTGTTTTTTCAATTTAAGCAGAACTTTATCAAGTATTTACCCCACTGTCTGTCTGGTATTTACACATTTTTTCAATCTGAGATTACATTCTCTCATGGTTGAGACCTTAGACACGTATTTTTCCAGCTTGTCTGCCTTCCATTCCCACTACCTGCCAAACAATTTCTTATTATCTTTATCCAGCATTGCAGCCTCTTTGGTACTTGCCTAGCAGTTCTGTCTCATGTTATCTCAGCTTGTTGATGTTGGGTTCATTCCGTCCTCCCTTTAAAATTATACCTCAGTTTAAAACTAAGTCTCACGCCTCAGCCGCTTTTTGTGTTTTGCAGCCTCTCAAACAGAACACAGTTGGCTTTGACTAACAGACATTTATAATAGGATTTTGTATTTAAGACACTATTTTGTAGCTAAGCCTTGTCATAGTTTATTATTTGGCTTACTACACAAGGCAGCTTAAGCAACTATGACTAACAGTTTTAGGTTTTTTGTGTAAGATGAGGACAGGGAGCTCACACCGGGGACCCAAACTGCTATAATTATCCAGAGAGTGTGTGACTCCTTTTTGACCCTTTGGAGACCGAAAAATATCTTTACTCAAGATCTCCTCAGCTTTCCTGCATCTCTGTTGTAGTCGTCATGTAAACATGGCTTATAGCAACTCAGTAGGTCTCCACAAAAAAACATCTGCCTGGAGGAGTGCATATGCAAACTCGCCAAAGAGAGTTCACTCTGGTAATCTTATCTTCCATTCCATGTATATGCAGACAATGGGGAAGTGAGGTGAATAGCAAGTGGTTAAATGTGTTGACATTCTTTGGCAGTGAGATACAGACAGAATTTACAAGTGTTGTTAGTAGTGCTTTTCCTGCTGTGGTGCTGTCTGCTTTGTCCTTTGCAGAGGTGTGATAGAGGGACATTATCCTTAATTTGTCGTCACAGAATGTCTCGGCGCTTGTTTTGAATTGGGTAATTGGCTGCCCTGTTCGCCCTGCGCTGTTTGAAAAATGGTTGCTGGAAATCAATTCAGCACAGTCATTAGTCCCTGGGCTTGTTTCCTCTGACCCAGGTTTGTTTGACAAGTGCATTGGGCACACTTACATGTGATGAACAGCTAGAAGACTGGCCAGGTCACACCGTGTTTAATACATTCAGAATGCTGCTTTGGAAAGGCCATTGTTTATGTTTACTGAATTTGAACCAGTCGATCAATTTCCTGGTTCGATCACTGATTTTTGACATGTGGCAGCACCTCTGCTGTTTTGCTAAATCCTACCCACTGCCTGCACTTCATTCCATCCTGTCACACACAAATGTTTCTGTAGCTGAGTTAAAGTATCCGTCTGGAAAAAAAACGCTCTACAGTGATATGGATAAGAAATTGAAGGATTGTCTGCGAATGAAGACAGAAAGGTTTCACATGACCAACTTCAGCTGCTATGTATTCATGTGAATTGGCATCTTGTCATTCAAACCTCCCTGTTCAAGAGACAGTGCTACATAAGGTATGTAAATGTGGTTGAATTGATGCTTATCTCTTATTTTGTCTCAGAAGAAAAAACAATATGCTCCCAGGTGTCTTCCTCAGATCCTCAGGTCTTTCTCTTGCTTATCTCTGTGAGCCAAATGAGACATCTGCATTTGCTGATTCCTGCACAGCACTGATTGCAAAGTTGCAGATTGTTGGACCACAACACAGCATGTAAACCACGGCGAATATTTATTTTACGATAATCAGTAGACGTAAATTAACAGAAAACAGAAGACCTGTGTTGCAGAGGCTCCCAAATCTATTGCTGTTCAACTGAGAGGACTTTTAAAAAGGGTCATAGTTTTTTTTTATTTTTATTGACTTGATTGTTAATTTAAAAAACATTTACCATTTGCTAATTAACCTAAAAGCCCCTATTCAAGATTTTCTACAGGATGCCTTCTGTTTATCAAAATATCTTGAAGTTTCAAAAGCACAAGTTTCATCTGACACCCCTGCAGGATCTAGAGCCACAGTCAAAGGAGCAAATGTTATTGTTTTTCTGATGTTTATCGCCATCAGGGGTTGAGTGCACAGCCTCAGTCATAACTTCCCGCAAATCCCTCGTGGCAGAGTTGTTAAGTACCGCTCATGCGTTGGAAAAGGAAAGTTGTCATGGCTTGTGAGAAGGCGATCTCTGGACAGTTGCCCAGCGATTAAACTGTCCCAATGAGGGTGTACAGTGGTTAAGCCCCCCTGTCCCCTGCTGGTCCATAGGTTGTGATAGAGCCTGATGGGCAGGCGTTAGGCCAAGACTCTGGGAATGATAAGGGGGCAGACATGCGTGAAAAGGAGAGAGGAGATAACTATTCTCACCTGGGGGAAAAGGCCATATCAGATTCTCCCAATGCAATCGCCTAAACAGATGAAGCTGTCAAAACACATTTGCCCTGATGTTCCAAAGAACTATCTCCAACTGCTATCACTGTCACCTCAGACAGATTAAAAACGAGGGCAAAAAACATGAAATGATCTTCCCGTAGGACTCCTCCCAAAAGATCTATTTACGTCGTCATAGAAATGATTTTTTTTTTTTCTGGGTTGGTTGCCAGTAAGAGGCAATAATATCCAAAGATGACTGTGTGAGTTTCATAACAAAAAAGCCCCCTAGGATTTGTAAAATGACCCCACCAAACTGGAAGCCTATTTAAAAGAGCCTCTTACACTAAATCCACTCAAGAGGCAATTTCTTGAAGACTCAAAGCAAGTGCATATGTAAGGAAAACCCTATTCACATCACCCTCATGACCCAAACCACAATCTCCTCTCTCTGTCTGCTATAATCACTGTCTCCAATTTCTGCTTGTGTGTTATGAACTCAACTCGAAGTGGTTCAGTTGTTGTATCACAGACTAGTGAGTCAACACTGTTAACTGTTAGTAGGAAGAAATAAACCAACGAGCAGCCGCATCTTAATGCTTAATAAAGCCTCTGAAAGTGAGCTTTCCATGTCTGGCTTGCAAATACCAGTGTCTCAGTTTAAATTGAATAGAATCTGTCTGTTCTGGAAATATAAAAGTTCATTACTAGAACAGGAAACCACTAATCTTTACAGGTATTTTGAATGCAACAAAGCATCATCACGTAACACTGTTGCCAGACTTGAAGGTTTTGGAATCATCGGGCTGATGTTGTTCACGTATCCTGCGGCGATGTACTGTGTATTTTAAGAGTGCAATGGTGGAAACATGCTGACAAGAGGAGCTAATCACATCTCCTCTGGGGGCCCAGACAGCTGAGCCATTCTTTATCCATTACTGTGCAGTCCAACTATCGTGACATATGGATGGCATTGAGACGTTTAGCAAGAAGTGGATGATCTAACGCCAGTCTCACAGCATGATTGCTAATTCCCAGTTCCGCCTTTTGTCTGTCCTCTGTAACTCATTCCCACCATGTGGGATTGTTGTTGTTGATGGGTTGTCGGTGTCCCTCGGGTTGTGTCGAGGAAGGGTTTGTCTCTTTGTGTGATGGAAATCTTGTGAGCTAATGGAATAAGTACCGGGAGACCCAGATGTCTTACGCAGAAGCATTTATTGAACCTTGGCCAATGAGAATAGAGATGAGCAATACAAGTTAGCACTGTGTAATGACACCTCCTGGTAACCCATATTTAACCTGTTACTCCATGTACTCACTACATGTCCAAATAAAGTTATTCTTCTTGGAACCACGTCACATCCATACATGTTTGAAGGTTCTCCTGGGTACCTAATCCTAAATATTAAACCAGATTTTAGCTAAATAATGTTGTATATCTGGCCTACTTAGAGAAGACTTGTGTAACTAATTGACCCTGAGACACTGAAACCTCAATTATATTCCTTGTGGATGTACACACGGACAGCTGCAGACACTATAGAGGCACAGTTGTTCTTATTATACTACTTTCTAGTCTGCTTGGAGGATGCATGTGGAGTTGGTGCCCTTGTGGTCACAACAAATTGGAGGGTAGATGGACTAGCCTGACGGTTTGTTAGTTCTACCACCGGAGGCTCTGTCTGTCCTATCTCTAAGAGTCTGTTTCGTGACCTTGGTTTCTATGGCAACTGCCAGTGGGGATCGGGCAGCTGTGTCTTCACAGCCACACTAGAGATAAACTATGAACTGTTGTGTGTAGTGAGTGACCAGAGAGTGACCTGTGTGGAAACACTTCTTCATTAACATGAAGACCTAAAGAAGGACAAATTCCTTCACACTCTGGACTTGAAGAAAACAGATAAAGATAATTATCCCTGCGATTGATGGCAAAAATAATGCACTGGCTTGTCCTTTGTGTACTGGTGTAGCTGTTCCCTATTTCAGTAATAACAGTGACACAACATTTGGAAATAGGCCTCTGTCTTTGTGGCTTCAGTTAATTAGTTGTAGGTTTGAGGCTTGTCTTCCATTTTTTTCAGACCACTTTTCATCTCATGTTGTGGTTAGATTATTAGAAAATAATAGTGATTAAACTTTTGTGGTATTTAAGATGTGGTTTGTGGTACTTCATGATTTGATCTGTCTGGCCTAATGAACTGTAGACTTTTATTATCAAGAATGTTCTCAAAATTGTGTTTGTCATCTTTTGTTTGATGTCAAAGCCAGTCATTAACTGTTACGGTTTTGAAGACTCAGCTGTCGGACGACAACAACGACGATCAACCTCAATAAATTAGAAAAAACGAGGAGGGATGACAAACACACTATACAATGACTCTTTCACATGAGGACAATCATTTCTTCCAAATAGTCACTGTAAACATCCAAGCTAAATGAAATGAGTTGTTTGGAGTTTTCATTCAGCCAGTCAATTTAGTGACCTCTTGGAAACACTGTTTCAACATGGGGTTGTTCTCTTGGTCCAGTGTCTGGTGACAGTGATGTGGATAATGACTTTGTTCTCTCCTCCTTCTGCAGGCTTCACACAGCGCAGAGAGCCATCAAGCAGACCCAAGTGACAGTGCAGAAGATTGGGAAGGAGATTGAGGAGAAGCTAAGGACGACAGCGACCTGCACAGAGCGGGTGAGCACAGTCACCCATCAGTAGCAAATGTGAAGGCATCAGCAACTTACCTTTAAGTCACCGTCAATGTTTAGGCAGCTTATCTCCTTATCTTCAGTAGCAGTCGATGTTGTTTCATCAGCTTATGCTATTGTGAAAATATGTAAAGATGCGGTGAATTTCATGTTGATGTGATGTTTTCAAAGAACATTCATTAACACCAGAGAGAAGTAATTGCTGTGATCAGCGATAAGAGATCTCTTGTCTTCTACACCAATAATAAGCATCAGCAGACTGTGTTGTGCTAAATACTTAACAGGATTTAAGAAGGTGTATCACCTAAATCCCCAGATGTAATTGTAATGTGACATATAATTATACCCTTTCGGCAACTATTATATCTTTTTGTTTCGATAGCTCAACTGAAAAGTGGAGAAAGAGCAACATCCCACCTGCCTAAATGATAACATTTTGACCAAAATCCACTGTTTATGTTTCCACCTCTTGTCATATCCTCGTCTGTGATCCAAAGCAAAAGCAAGAAAGCATATTTAACATTTTTGGAATTGGCAGCCACACAGCTGTGAAAACGGAGCACTGATCCCAGGTTTGTCATTGTGTTTATTGTAAACATTCACTTCAAAGGGCGTCCTCTCTCTTCTGCTGTTATAAAAGCCCTGAGGCTGTGACACTTTGGTGTTTTCATCCTCCAGGTAGAGTCGTCTTTGTAAAAAGCTTTTTGCTGGTCACAGGATTACATACCTTAGATTCCGAAATTCATGTTGTCCAGGTGGGATGTTTTTGTGTACACACAGTGTTGTATGAGAGTGTGTGTTATATGTGTTTTTGTACAGATAGCAAATTTAAAGGTTTTGAGTCCCTCTTTAGACAGCTGTTACAGCTGTTGCTTTCCATCATGCTCTCAATCGGCTTTTCATATGGCTCATTTTTTCTTTTCCTTTCCCCAGACTTCACCCCACCTATTAAAGCAGCTCCACTATAGCCTTCTTTCGCCTTCCCACAAAAACATTGAGGCTCCATTCTTTTGCCACAAAGGATCTCTTTCAAAAACTTGTCTCTGATATTTCCCCCTCAGTGAAACATTCATTAAAACCCCTTTCAGAGCTCACATCAGCTAATAAATCACATAATCCTCGTCTTCTACCTTTCTGTAAAAACCCGGCAGCTTGAAGTGAGTGGAGCATTGTGTGGCTCTTCTAAGGGTTTCCCTCATTGCCTTTGGAGAGCTCTGTACAATCCTTCTGTGCGCGTCACAGTGAGCATGGATCAAAGGAGGACAGAGTGGAGGCCACCAACCCCAGCGCATGGCCCTTTCACCCTCTCACCCACACTTTGCCATTAATCTGCTGGGCTATAACATGCTCCCCCTACGCTTGCTGCTTATTTACTCAGCTGACCCACTGCTGTTTGATGTTCAGTAGGAGTCAGACAGGCCCTGACGGTGGGTTAGAGTCTCCCTCACACACAGACTCACATGGCTGTGACCCACTTGTCAACTATGCTGCTCAGTGAAAGTGTAGGAGGCTCATGGTTCGTGCCAAAGCCAGTGGTGGTTAACATGCAAGCATCAGGGTACGACACATTGCAGCGATGGAGGCTCTATCAGTCCTCTCTCTGTGACTGATACCCCTCTCTGTTTTTGCCACAAAACCCTCAGAAGTCTTCAAGAAGAAGCATATCTGTGGTTCCTTAGATCCTGGCTACGATCACTATCAAAGCGTATGCGTGTGAGAGATGCCACAGTCCCTGCTTGCAAGCTACAGGATGAATAACAAGGCCGAATCTCTGTTACCCTGTGAGCAAGTTCGCTCCCACCCATCTCTCCAATATCCATGTCATTTTCTCCTGTGTCTCTGTTTTACTCTTCCAACTGTTCAAACTCATTCAACTGTTGTCTGTCATCAGCCACACAGTTCTCAAACGTCAGCTCTTAAATCACTCTTTAGATGTTTTGGAGTTGCTCTATCTGTTCATCCAAACTTATCATTTTTCATTGTATGGTTCTGTTAACGTCCAATCTCTCCCCTTCCTCTACTGTATACCACATTCACATCCATCAGTCCATGAATCCCTTGTGCTGTTCCTCATTAGATGGTTAGCCGACTGCCGGCTCCCCCTCTGCCAGATAGAGACATGAAGCCTGATGAAGGGACACCCCATAGAGAGGGCAAGATGTTGACTAATGACCTGCACTCTGATGCTGCTGCTGGTCAGGGAGCGTGTGGTGAGAGAGACGTTTGTTGAAAGTTGTGGATATATAGAGATAAAAACAGATACTCATCTGGAGTTGATGGAATTTATTGTGGTCTCTCACCAGGGTTCGGGTTTGAGAGTTTGTGTGTGTCCACACGTCTGCATGGTGTTATAACCTTTAAACAGGGAGGGCCATTGAGAGCAAGCTCTCTTTTACAATGACGCTCTGATTACAGTACATATAAAACAATACAAGCACACAAAGTTACCATATACATACGTAAGCACATAATACAACAAACAGGCCAAGGACATCAACGTAAGGCACAACGTTAATTCAAAGAAAACACATGTATTCACACTGCTCTGTCTTCAAAAGGGATTTAAATTGATTGAAAGGGATTAGTTTGTCAATTAGAATCTAGAATAGAATAGACTATATGTATTGTCATTGCAGAAGTGTAACAAAATTAGATTTTGCGGCTTCTGTACTAGATGCTAGAAAAAACAGACAATATCAAATAGGGCCACAAACCAAGGTTTTTATAAGAGAACGCTCTTTCAATTGATGACCCAACAAGAGTAGTAATGTTCATTTCAGCGAAACTCTCAGTAAGTTTTCCAGAAAACAGCATGCATTTTGTATTATCTAGTTTAACAGTAATTAAAGATCTGTCTTTGCTGTACGGCACAGAAATCAACATGCGACAGAAGGTGCTGTTGTATATGAAATTGCATCATCCACGCTCAGTACTGTTTTTCTTAACCTAATTAATGTATAAAAATTGTGAATAAAAGTGGTCCTAGACTATAACCCTGTGCCACACTTTTGTTAACAGTCTTAAAGTTGAATAGATAGCCATCAGCCACAGCAGCTTGGGTTCTAATACTGAGATAATTTGCAAACCCAGTTTTTCATCAAATCCAATACATTCTAGGCATTTCAAAAGAATTTGATGATCAACAGTATCGAAAGCCTTAGATAAAGCAATAAAAAGGGTGACACAGTCCTGCTTGTTTACTAATGCACCAGCAACATCATTCAAGACTTTCACTGCTGCCGTCACAGTGCTATGTCCCAAACTAAAACTTGATTGATGAGTTTAAAATGGGGTGTTGAGATAAAAATGTTCTCACCTGACTGTTTACCAGTTTCTCTAACACTTAAGCTAGTAATGGGAGTTTGGAAACAGGTCGATAGTTATTAAGCTCATTGGACTGCTTCCTTTATGCAAAGCCAAGACATAGGCTGTCTTCCAAAAGGCAGGGATGCTTTCTGTTTCCACAGTCAGATTAAAAGTATAAGTTCAGCATTCATCTAAAAGTGAAGCTGCTAATAATAACACCGTTGGCTGTTAGTGATCAGCCCCAGTGGTCTTTTTGTGGATCACAGAACGAAGAGCCTTAAACACTTCAAGATTTGTAAAAGATGCTTCAGTGAAAAGATCTGGGTGTCAGATTTGTTAGCCCAGCAAGGCGCACTATGATCAGCGACAGTTGGAGGAAATTCAGCATTTTCAAATATATGACCTGATGAATTAAGTGTTCATTGAATGCATCACTTATATTCTTTCCAAATAAGAAAGTACTTGAAACTTGAACAATTTCACTGAATAAGGATGATTGCCAATAATTGGATGATTCAGTTATTTGTGCTCTGTTCCAGGCAGCGTCCCTTTCACACAACATCATGTGTCATGATGTTCTAGTTTTAGCTCCACCCTACTTCATACAGTTAAAAATAAATACTAATTCACATTCTCCACTCATCCACAGAATCAAACCACATAGTGTCCTACTCTAAATATCTGTGACTACCACTACTGCACTTTACACACATTCATAACCGTGATAACACATTGTTAATGTCACTGCCTGCAGCAGTTTAAAAACATCATGTGTTGACACCTGCCTGATTAGATGGCTGCTCAGGTTAAAGTTGGGAAGCTATAATGTGATTTCTGAGTTCACAAAATTCCATGTACTAATAAAATTATAGGTCTTTTTCATGGCAGCCATTTTGACTTGTTATTAGGCAGAAAAGCATTAAAGAAGTAGTTGAACAGTTTTGGGAGATGCCCTAATTTGCTTTCTTGGTGAGAATTAAATGACAAGATTTTTGTCCATTAAATAGGAAGTTGGATCAAGGGGCCAGTTAGCCTAGCTCGGCATAACAGCTAGCCCTGCTCTGTTCAAGGGAAAAAAAATCCTTTCCTTGCTTCAGCTTCATATTTATAGAAAGATATGAGAACCTCTCATCTACTGGCATCGGCAGGAAACCAGCTAAGCATTATTTCCCCAAATTGTCGAACTGTTCCTTTGAATAACATTCATAACGACTGTGTTCCAGATGACCCAGTAAGTCATGTCAGTGAGCCAGCATGCACCATACCAGAGCTGAAAGTGCAACACACAAAAGGAATGCAGTCATCATTAATGTTATTTATTACACATCCTCTGTCAGTGCTGTGATAAGTCAAACAGGCTCTTAATGGTGTAGGTTGCCGAGCTCTCACAGGTGCAACAAAACTGAAAGGTGAGCGAGGGGACGCCAATCAAGAACAGTCTGTACAGGCAATAATCAGGCAAAATAAGTGGACACCTGTGTGGGTGGACCTGTGTTTTGAAAGACCTTTTAATGTATCCATGGAGAGATGGGGTTGTGGCATCAGCAAAAAGTAATAGAATACAGAGAAAAATAGTGTGTGACATAAAAAAGATGTGACAGATCTTAACATAATTTCAACCTAGGACGTCCCACCTCCCATTGTACACCTTAGACAGCTCCAACCAAGGCACCCTGATTACATCATTATTACTCTGTATAAGAAAACACACTTTACTAGTTGTTATAGCAGGAGAAACCCAGTTGTAACTAATGACATAATGATGGCTCATTTAAGTGCCAGTGAGCAAGCAGGCCCTGGAGCTGTAACACCTGAATGGAATGCAGCTCTCATTAATGATATTAATCACATCCGTGAAATGCTCTCTCTGGCTACATGAGGAATATAATCAAAATGCCCTAATAGAAATGCTTAATACACACCCATGTGCAATGATAGTGTATACGTATCCTTCTAGTCCAGCTGCCCTTGACCAGATATTTGGAGTTAGTGCCACTGTTAGTCCAGGTTTGACATTCAGCCTCATCTCCTCATATCTTATCAGAGCATCTGCTGGCATGCTAACAGCCAGAACTCCACACCAGTTAACTCACTGTCAGACATTCCCATGACTTGAGCTCATTACTAAACCAGCAACACTGATCTCAGGGCTCAGTGAGATGTTTTGGATAGTGAAATCATTCTCCATCTTTCTGGTCATTAGTTGCTGACAGTGGATTCTGGATTAGCGATGGCGAGTACTGGCTCAGTAGATGCGTATTAAATCAGTGCAAAATGGGATCAGCCTGAGATAACATGTCTTGTTTTTGAGGGAGCTAGTAGGAATTTGGGGGTCTTAATAAAGAGCAATAAACACCAAAATTGCTGTAACCACATACTAAATATTTTCTTTCATCTTCTTTCTCTGTTTTCTCTCCATATCTGTGTTGTCCTGTGGTTGCTCTGAGCAGAAGAAAGAACGGGAATGCATGCAGCTGCGTATAGCCGTGCTGCGCAGTGAGCTGCAGCGTCAGAGGAAGGCGCTTGGCAGGGAGATAGACCTGCGGCAGAAGGAGAGGGTACAGCTTCAGAAGAAAGGTAAAGCAAATGGGATCACACACAACAGGTACTCTTTGACTAATGAGCCTGTTAACACCACATTTGTGTTGTATTCCTTTCCCAAATGAAATTGAGGATGGGGCATGAACTGATCTTAATTTGCTTTGTTTGTGTTTTGAAGCACACACAACACTTTTAATAGTTGTAGTTTTGAAGATGACTTTACTCAATGCCGATTGATTAATATAGTGCACAAGGTGCAGTCAAAGGAATGATACAATTACTCTATAGATTAGTTTAAAAGTAAAATATTTCTTAAAATTTTTCCTGCGCTAAATAATTAAAATAGTAATAATACAAAATCATGCTACATCAAATAACAAGCCACTGAGCCAACAATATGAATGTTGTATACATATATACTGTATATATATGTGTTGTGTTGTATATGTTGTATACATATATACTGTATATATATATATATATATAAACAAATACACATAAAAGCATGTATTGATTTATGTAGTCAGTGCACTAAATCAGTGTTTTTACCCCCCCAAATAATTGCTAGAGTTAACATGAACACATTGATGGTAATAAGAATGGAAAGCTTGAACATGTAGTGTTGCTTCAGAATCAAATGAGATGGTCTGTGGGTCCTTCTGTAACTCATTTGGTTGTCTTTTATGTTGCTGTCATGTTTTTGTGTCAAATCCAGCTTATATAAGTAGACTTAAAATAATGGTCAAAACACATGCAGGAAATTGCCAGCTCGTTTCATGATCAACCACAAAAGGCTGTTTCAGCCACTAATTGCAAAGTGAACAGAGGATATTGTTATGACATAGTTGGACCATAATTTTGTCTATATCACAGAAAGTGCAGGACTAACAGGATATTTTTCATTTTGAGTTAGACTAATACAGTAAATTCCTTTGGTTATGACTCATTAAAATAAGCAGATTATCTAAATTCCTTAATTATACCCTTTATAATATTGCTCGGTTGCATCTTTCTACAGTTAAATCAAGAACCCTTCCCAACCAAAATGAATGTCTTCAATAGTGTTTTGTGAATTTTCCATCTTCTCCATGTTATTGTTTCACCAGTTATAGAAAAAGCAAGTTAAAGAGTTCAGTAGAAAGCTGTATGCTGTTAAATGTGTCATGCTGTAAAATCAGTTTTTGAAATAGAAATAGTTTCTTAAAATTAAAAAGCCATGCAGCACCAGGTCAATTTCAGCCTGTGATTTGTTGTTCAGGAAACTCCAGTTTTTAAAACACCTCAGTAAAGATTTCAGTGCTGCCTGACAGCAGCAGGTAGACTGTGTGCCTTGTGTTACCTGTTCATCATGGAATACAGTAGAGTTTGTCACATACAGGAAACCTCAGTCACACTCCCAGTCAGGGGATTGGAGCCACTCGACACACACACACACATATGTACACACATGTACGGTATATATTTTTTATAGATTTTGCAGCCTGTGTCAGGCCACTAAAAGAACATTGTTTGTACAGTGATGTCATTTATTTAACCCTGTTAAGTCTGCAGCTCTTGCCTCTCATGTTTGAGAGCTGAGGAGTGTTTTACTGCTGCCTGTTATTGTTCATAGGGATGTAAAAGACACATAAACCCGAACACATATGCATATGAGTACCTGTCTGGCTTTTATGATTGCAAGTACACACAAGTTCTTACATTGTAATTTCAGAGTGTTTTGGGGAGCTGTGACATGATTTCTCTTTCATTTTTTTCTTTTCGCCCCTGCGCTGGCGACAGCTGTGGCCAGAGGTGTTATATTTTCAGATTGTCCGTCTGACCGTCCATCCGTCTGTCCCATTCAAACGTTCACTTGGACTCAAGGATGAACTGATTAGAGTTTGGAGGTCAAAGGTCAAGGTCAATGTGACCTCCGCCTCTGATACAATTTGGACCTTTTGGACTCAAACTGATTAGAATTTAGTAGTGAATGGTTAAAGGTCAAGATCAAGGTCACTGTGACATCACAAAACATGTTTTTTGATCATAACCCAATAATTCAAACGCTAATTATTACAAAATACACTTTATACCTTTTATTAAATTCCCTCAAGGCCTTCACTACATGTATGATTCTGACATACATGGACGTGAACTGCAACTTGACAGTTTATGTAGGCAAACAACCATAGGGCAGTAATTCTTTAGTTACCTCTATTTCCAATAGTTTTTTGTGTTTCTCATCGTCCTTGTCAAAATGTAGATTAAATAGTCAGAAATTAGCCTGTTCCCGAGCAGTTTTCCAAAATGCATTGTTTGCAGACAGACATATCTTGGTTCTACTGCCATCAGCAGCGGTGTTTGTCTCAAAGCAGGTCAGATGCTGTCTATAAGAAACGTCTATCTGTAAGATCAGCTTGCTGTTTAGCCAGAGGGCAGGGCACCTCACTGAGCCACCAACCTGAGGTGGGGATTGCCAATGATTAGCATGAAGTCTGCACATGAATGCAAACGGCCACACTCACTCAGAGACACAGCACTAAGTGGGTTGGAGGGAGAAGTTTCTTTTGTGCTGCAATTCTAAAAACTGGCCGTTAATCCTCTTCCTCCTTACCTGTCAGCACTCCGTCTACAGCCAAAACAAAAGAATTTTTCTGCTCTCCTTCTCTGTAGCTCTTTCATGGCTTTTTTCCCGACTGGACAGGTGCTTATTAAGAAACAGAAGAAAAATTCCTTCAGCTAGTTAAAGAGGAAAAAGCCATTTTAGGATAAAGTGAAATGCTGTAGCTGAATAGGCCCATGCTGAAATCTTGTCAATTTTTTTCCCGCCAGACTCATAACTCAAAAGCCAAAAACCATATGCTGTGGAGCTTTGCTGTACTTCCAGCTTGTTGTTTAACTTTTCTAATCAGCCTGCACATATTCATCTGTTACACAATCGGAAAAAAACCCTGCATTAATTACAGACAGGATACTCTTGAAGACAGGTGTTTATAGTATTTCATACAGCAGCTGATTTTTTGTCTGATTATATTTAGGTTGGCACCACAGCATGTTTGTTTCATCTGATCTCATCTTTCATTTTGGAGACACATATGATTTTATCAGTTCTCGGTTAAATTTAATTTTGAACTTTTCCTTTCCCACACAAGCTTGAAGAAGCAAAATTAGTCCCATTCATTTAATACAGATGGTTCAACAGGCAAACTAGGGGCTAAGGACCGATGATTTATATACCCATTTAATGTCAATGTTGATTCAATTAGAAGCAAGTGTTTAATTTGTTGACTTTTCACACATCGCAGTTCTTATGAGATACAGGTTTCTTTGTAAGTTTTATTGACAGTTTAACAGTATGTGTAAGTGCATTGCTATGTAATACATCCCCAGAGGGCATCTTGTATGTTAGTTAATCTCCTTTCTTAGTCACGCTCTTTAGGATGTCATCTGTACCTGGCTGTGTGGTCTTCCCATCGCTCACACAGTCATGGGGCCAATTAGCAAATAGCTTTTATCAGCCCGTTATTCTCTGAAAACCGGCCTCTCTCAAAACAAAACCCAAACATACAGTAGAGGTTCTGCAGGTGTGTGTGTCTGCATGTGAGCTCGCAGATAAAGATGAGATGAAAGTTTGGTGTCTGTGTTTTTGTAAAGTAACTATTAGACTGTTGATGCAGACTTGCCGATGCCTGTTCTGCATTCATCTCTTTTCATGCCTCTGTGCTTTGTCTCTTACCATCCTGGACAGTGTTCGCATAATAAGTGCTGAAAAACCTCAGCAGTCAGTATCATCCTGATGACAGGTTAACGACTAGCTGTTCAGTGCCCGCTGATTTACAGTAAGGGCAGTGAAATCATAGCAAGAGTGTAGAAATACTGTTGTTTTTCTCGACTGCAAAAGAACACATACTCACGCTCAGTCCACTGCACGTCTTTCACGCAAACCATAACAGAGGACATCTGAGCATGACCACCATTTTTTACTTCTTTACAGCTGTGAATTTAAGACTAAAAGTCTGTCTTTCCTGGCCTCGGGGTTTAATGGGTTTGGTTTTGGTGGGGTCACACTCTTGTCACAATTTCCTCCCGTCTAATTTCCCTCCTTCCACCTTGAGCAGATGACATAAATCAAGTCTGTGAACGGCGTTTATTGTACTTAGTAACGGTAGTTATTCTCACGGTCTGTAACACAGCCAGGGCTCCCGAGCAATAAATGTCAGTGGTTGGGTTTCTCAAGTGTAAGGAACACAGTTTAGTGAAGGTGTGGTGTGTGTGGAGGTATTTGTCACCTCAGAGAAAAGGTCTCATATTGAAGCTATCATCATTAGGGCTCCTTTAGCAGCAGCTGACCACCATCTTTACTCAGGATAAGTGTTGACAGGTACTGCAGTCCAACACTCTGCCTAATGACTCACTAGCATGTCGTTCTACCTATTTCCTGTCTTAACTCCCTGACGTCCTACTCTAGTCTCTATGTCACAGTCAAACCCTTTTCTTATATAGCATTAAGAGCCGTGGCTTAAAAATTTGGCTTTTATTTTTTTTTTTTTAGGTGGAAACAAATATATGTTCTTCATAGTTGTTTTCCAACACACATCATTCAATATGGCCTCCTAAACATAGTTATTAAACTCCATAAAACCATTTTTTCCCCAGACACTAGTGTGATGTATTCCTTTGAAACTGTCTAACAGTGACCTTCAGCTCATTTCATTGGTTGTGATTTCAATTCCAGGTGATGAATATATCTGTTTCTCAGTAGCTTTGACCAGTTATATTTTATTTAATTTTGCTAAAGGTGATCTTCTTTTAAACTGGAGATTCACAAGTTGCCCATCAAAATCATCACACAGGGAAAATATATTTGGAAAAAAACAAATAAACAAACAAAACCAGGCAGCTCAGTAGGGCCATAGACACTGTGACTTTATTCTTCTGAGCTTTTGCATTTTAAAACTTTTAATGTCCGCTCAGTAGTGTGGTTGTGCATTTTGCAGCTGGATTTCCTTCAGATCGCTCAAAGCCCACTGTCCACTGGCGTAAACTACATTACTGTACATTGTCTCTTGCCTGAAATGAGAAAAACTACAGTGAGCTCCCTGACTGATTTATTGTCAGTTTTAGCCTTGTAACATTCTAAAGCCTCTCCACGTTTATGTTTAATATGGAAGTCAACACACAAACAACCAGAATGCCTGTTGGCGTGTTATTTGCTGTAGTTTGTCTGTGATGATGCTGATACCGTGATGCAAACTGGAACAGGTCAGAGGGATGAGTGGATGAAAAAAAATGGATGGATAGAAAACAGATAGGACATAGCTGGGCATTACATGAAAGCAAGACTGCAATACAGGCCCACGTAGTCAGTGTTAAAATATTTTCATGTCATCACTCACAGCAGAGGGATCTCAGTCTGACATTATCTGTCTTCTACGTTAATCTGATGGAGATACTTCTGAGTACCTCTATTTTCTCCTTCCCTCTGTCTTCAGAACTCTCCGTCTCTGTTCACCTTCACGATGCCAGTTTGAGCAACATGGATGTGAGTGGAAATATGTGATAAGAAGCAGGTCCTGTGATCATCTGATCACAAATGTAATTTGACGATCTTGCTTTTCTGCCACCTGCTGTCATCCCACTTGACTTAGGGTGGATCTCTGTATCTCAGTGTTATTTAGAATTTTAGTTTTTTTTTTTTTTGCTGGTTGAGTCCTTGCACCATAACACTCCATTTCATTTCAAATAGAAAAATGCAAGTAAACACATGGGTCGGTTTTCGAGAGTAGAACTGGAATTGAGCTGATTTTAAATTAGAAAGAACGAGTGAATCGTCACAAAATTAGCTGTTTGGTTAAGTTTTGGTTGTCTTATTCATCCATTAACTGTAGCTCGCTGCTTACACACTAATTAATTATTATTATTTGGTGCCAGAGCTTGTGTTTAAAAGTGCGGTTTTCCATGCAGCAGACAACGTAATGATCTGCTTCTGTAATTACCTGTTGTCACGGTGCTTGATTGTTAATGGATATTAGGAGGTGCTGAAACAAAAAGAATCATGGAATCTTTTCATTATAACTATTTGTTTCATTCCACATCTGCCTGAAAAGAAGTTATTTTTTCCTTTAACATATTTTTAATTTCTTTTCTTTCTCAAATACTATTCCATCAGATACCAAGAATCAGTAAAAACCAGATGAAATAAGCAGAATCAGAATTGGAATTGAAACCTAAGAGTTTTGACCGACTTCCTGCTCTTCCTCTGGGATCTGTAGTTTAAGCCTCAATATGTAGTTAAGTGCATTTTAAATGGAGGCACTTGAAAAGTGTCCTTATCATCATGTGACCGTGGAGGGGAGGTGACTTGACTCCTGACCTCCTAACCTTCTACATGACTGTGCTCTTCCCCGTGTCGCACAGAGGGAGGTCGGCCGCCTTGGGGAGAAACGTCATTACCAATGTTTTTTATTCAAAGTCTGAACATAAAACATATGTGATTTTTGGCATGAAGAGCTTTTCTTTGTGGCTCTGCTCTCTCTTCATCACCACAGTCTGATACTGCAGCAACGGTCCTTTAGCTGTTACACCTGATGGTCAACCCCATAATCCTCTGAGCTCTTCTTTCCAAATCCAAATTTTTTAATAATTATCACAAGTCACAAACCATCGTCCATATAACTTTTTCAGCTTCCAACCAAGAAAAAGCAATACATAATGAAGAACTTTCCTCTGTTAATTCTTCAGTGTTTAGAAAAAATGCAGGAGGGAAGTATGTAGCAAACATGTGGTTTATGGTTGAATTGTCTACTTATTTACTTATAACGTGGATCGTAAGTAATAATTGTTGCAAAACAAAACCCATTAGACAGGGTTGGGGTTAAATAGTGAAACATCTTATTATTAAAATCATGTGGAACCATAAACCATAAATCATATTTCTGTTGTAAATATTCTTTTACAATCCTAAATTATATTTTGCTTCTTTCTCACAATAACACTGAGTTATTATGAGCTTGCCAATACTGCGGTTACCTAACGTCTACAAGCTGTATCATCACTGTCTCTTATCTGTCTGATTTTATTTATTTTCCCAGCTCTGTATTTAGAGTCTGACAAATCCTGTAATTTGCATACATATGTTGTTTAGTTTTATGGTGTGTGAAAAGGAAATGGTTTTCGCCTGATCAAAAGAGCTGTTTGATCTTGCTCACAATTTTAACAGTGGATGGCAGCCAACCAAACACAAGCCCACCTGGCTGTTCAGATGTCGTAGATCAGAACACACACCTGATAATTTACTTCTTTTTTTTTTTTTTTTTTTCTTTCTGTCTGTCAGAGGAAGTGTTCTCCGCTCAGCACGAGTGTCTGAAGGAAGAGAAAGAATCCTTAACCAAGCTGCAGAAGGAATGCACTGCCAAGAGGTACTGTATGTGTGAACCTGTCATTAGCTGTTGCTTTATTTCTGCACAGAAAACACACTTTTTAAATGCATTTATCTCCCTTGGCGAGACACTGCGCAGTGCTCACTGAACGATGTGACCCGGTGTGTTGATCTGTCGTATTGTGATGAGATTACACCCTGCACCCTGCCTCCCACCTTGCTCTTTCAAAACAAGGGGATGTTTTTGCGGCCGGTGCTGCCTATTTATCTGTTCTCCAAATTTGCACGTCGTGCTAAAAAACCCTATAGACCTGTGTTTGCCTTGGCCCGTGGGGAGACATGAGCGGAGGGTGCCGACCCTGGATGCAGCTTTGTTTATCTGAGAAGTACCTGGCAGTCACACAGGGTAAACCAGAGCCCTAGGAAGGGCGGCAGGGGCCAAGAGACCCCGCAAACAGGAAATTAATACAGACAGTCGTACATCTGCCTAACATCCATTCCTTGGAAATATCTGTGTCGTTGATGTTTTTCATGGTCTCTTTATATTTAACTTAATTTTTTAATTTTTAGCTAGGGCACGTGCACACTTTTTCTTTAATGTAGCAGCCTGTCTCCCAACATTAGGGCGAAAAGGAATAAGTCATGTTATCTTTAGTTGAAGTAAATTTATATATTAACTTCAGTACCCTTTTTGAAAACATAAAACTACTTCACTCTGCCTTTCTAGATTGCTGTAGCCTATTTGAGGTGTTAAACCATATCCCCTTTGGTCACCAGTGAAATTAAGAAAATAATAAAGTACATTTACTGTAGTTTACTTACTTACTTTTATTTACATGAACTGTTCTTCTTTACCTGCACAATTTTGATGTACTTTACTTCAGCATTTCCATGATGCTACTTTGTACTTGTAATCTACTATTTCAGAGGTAAGAATCGCACTTTTTTACTCAAGCCGATTAATATTAACATATCAAATTATCAGGTAAAATTTTCCAATATTTTGTAAAAATATTCCAATAAAATGTATACAAATTGGTGTAGCAAAGTTTTTTCTTCTTTCTTTTCCCAGACGTCATCCCAACCCACCTCTGGGCCAATAACATACAGTATATTGTTGATTTATGAAATGAAAAGAAGTAAATACAACCCATATACCAAAACAACAATAAAAAATGAGCCTTTCTATAATTTTAATGTAGTGTTACTTTTTATTTCATCATCTTAAAAAAATAGAAAAATTAAATAATATTTTTGGCAAGTGCAGAAGTTTTGGTACCCTACTAAGTCAGGGAGCTAAAACTATTTCCATCTCAACTAACTGTAACATTAAAATGCCGCTAACAATTAATGTTCCTACAGAATGAGAACCTTTAATACTTTAAAGAAAAAGTTTAATACTTTGGGAAATAAATGTATTTGCTTACTAGCAGAGAGTTAGATGAGAAGATGGATACCATTTACATATCAGTCCGTTAAATATAGGCTACTAAATTTTTTTAAGTAGCCTATGTATTAAATATTAGCACTAAAATTGGGGAAATGGGGAAGCAGCTTGCCTCTGTCAAATGCGAACAAAATCATGGTAACAAAATAGATTGTTGTGTTGATTCTTTTACTTAAATGAATAATCTCAATAACTTCTTCCACAGCTGTTGGGCACGAGCCAGGATGTGTGTACTTGTGTACATATGCCAGTTAATATGTAAATTAACAAGTTTAAAAAAAAAAAGAAAAAAAAAAAAGAAGGGTTTGTAAAGGCCCTGCATCATGGCTTAACCAATTAGAAATGGCAGAGCCTGCTAGACAGATGTGTTGCTCAGGTCAAGCTGTCAAGCCAATCTGTCTCCTCTCTCACCCGTACAAAGCAGCCACACACAAGGAAAGGGTAATGATAAGAGACTGCTAACCACAGCCAAACCACAATTCATGTCAAAGGCGAGGAGGATGGATGAGAGGATGCATCACATTCACTTACCGTTTTCCACCTAAAATCTCTTTTCATCTGCATGAAATGATGAACTATTACCCACAAGAAGTGGTGTAAGTACTGTACAGGACATCCGGAGAGAGAGTCTCGTTCACACACACACACACACACACACACACACACACACACACACACACACACACACACACACACACACACACACACACACACACACACACACACACACACACATACACAGTTAAACTAGGGAATGTTGCTGTGTTACTCATAAACATAAACAGTCACAGGCATTATGATAAATACATATTCAGAAAGCCATTTGAATTGTGGATGTAACACAGTTCAGTAACTAGATTTGTGTTACATTTCCTTTATACTCATTCCATATACTTTACCCATTTGTCTCTAGTACAGCCACAGCCTTGTTTTAAATTTAGAAAGTGTGTGACTTATTACTGCAAATAGGTTCACACAGGTTTCTCACTGATACTATATTGCTATTGGACGCTGTGGAGACATACAGCACACAATGTTTCAGACAGCTTCAGGTAGAAACATCCATTTACATGAGCAAGAAGACTTGATTATAATACAGCACATAGAGTCTCTACATGAAATTTCTGGAATACTGTGGAATTTTGAGATTTTTTTTTTTATACTAAACAGGAGAAATCAGGGAAATTTATTATTTTCCTCTCAAAAGTCTGAAATTCTTCGGTATATTTTCAGACTGTATGTGTTGGTATTTTACAACTTGTTTCACCAGTTGTTCTGGTCACATATTGACTGGTTTTTACTTAAGCAATAACAAGAAATATCAAAATGTTTTTTGTATTTTTTTTTTTAAATATCTCACTGGTGCATAACATTGTGTGTCTTGTACAAAGAGAATATTTTACTGCACCAAAAACAACATGTAATCAGAGTCGACAGTGAAAACTACGAGGGCAAACACTGAGACTTCTCCACTCCCGGGTCATAATTGCTGAATGTGTCCAGCCTGTTTTGATAATGTGATAAACTGGGGTTGGTGGACCCAGCGAAGCTAACTGAGACTGTCCTGCTCTGGTTATAAAATGGCTTGTAATTTAGCAGTTGTGTTATTTTCCTTATTTTTTTAACAGTAAATTTAATATAACTCACTGCTGCTCAATTAGATCTCATCCAGGCGTGGCCTAGACAAAAAGCAGACAGGTCTTAGACCGACATTAACCTCCTATCACACACCATTATGCAGCGTACATAAACTGTCCTCTCTGTTCATCATTAATCGTTCATATTTTCTGTAACTTTAATTACCTTTGTGCCTTACAGAAGGTCCCAGTGGAGTTGTAGCTAGCCTGGTTGAGTTCTACTGTTTTCTTCCAGCTACACTCGTTCCTGTACGATCTCAGCCTGCGCTTTCTCTAGCCTCTCCTTCGCCCTGCCACTCCCAGTGTCCACCACCCTGAACTCCAGCTCCTGTCTCATCGTGTTGTCCTTGTGTCTGGTTTTGTCTCCCCAGAGAGCAGTTTCTCAAGTCCAACGCCCAGCTCACCTTCCGCTGTCGTCAGCTCCTCTCTGAGCTTTCCTACATCTATCCCATTGATGTGGTGAGTTGGACCTGATGGTACCCTGCTGCACAACACATTGTTGACAGGGCAACTGCATTGAATTATCTGGTTACACAACCAAGGCTTTGATAAAGCAGAAATGGTGCAGATAGTAATGTGTGCAACAGCACCCTATTTTATTGTAAAGCAGTTTTTAATTCTAAATTTCAGTGCCACTTCAGAAGATCATCACGTCTCTGTTTAACTTGCTTCTCTGATTGGTCAGTTTTCTGTTGGCAAACAAACTAAATACTTTAAATGCTGAAACCACGAGACAATGGCTGAATGATTTAGAGTGCGTTCCTGTGTCAGCAGCAAAGATGACGTGCTGTCCCACATAGGTTTTCATCTTGTGTGCATCTGTTTCTGCTGTCTGACCATCTTTAATATGAAACCTCTTATTTAAATTCACAGGCTAATCAGTCAGATTATGTCATCTGTGGAGTGAAGCTGCCAAACTCTGAAGACTTTCAAGGTAATTCATCATCTGCCTGCTTATGTGCTTCAGGGTTAGACGAGGATAAGCGGTGGTAAAGGCACGCAGAACAAATGTTTTGTCTTAGCTTCAATGCAATTAAACATTTTACTGTTTGAAGGCAAATGATCTCATAGATCATAGTATCTATGATAGTATCTATGATATCATTTTGGATACTGTAGATGGCAATTACAGCATTCTGTGTGCGTATAATTACTGGTATGTAATTTTAATGCATAAAAGACATAATTACATAATTGTATAATTAATAGTGAGTCACTTTAGTTTTACTAGCTGGCAAAGGTTGATAGCCTCCTTCACTCTGGCTAGCTCTATACATTCAAAATCACAGTTTACCCACACATGACATCTTTCCTGAAATATGTGAGATGAGTCAGCAGGTTACGACGGAGACAGTATTTGAATGCCAATTAACAGACACATGCACAAACTGTGTTGTTTGTTGTTTATTTTTGTTTGTTTTTTTTTTTTCTCCTGACATTAAATTAAATCCAACTTTTTTCATCAGCACTCTAAAAAAAAGAAAGAATATTTTAATCCAAGAATAATGATAATAATAAACCTGAGCAAAAACAATAGGGTTCTACCTCAGTGGGGTTAGAACCCTAATTAACTGTTAAGTATTGCTCTAATACAAAGTGCCAACAATGAATTGGATGAGTCCGTACAGATCGAGCAAATAAATAAATAAATAAATAAATGAATGAATTTAAGGAAAATAAGAGAGAATATGTGAAAAGTTTGGAGCCCAACATGAAGGCTGTGTAGGCTGTGTTGCATTCTTCTGCTTTTTGAACACTTGGCCTTTCTGATCTTTTGTTGGCTGCTGATGGAGGAGTTTTTCAGCACCACCACAGTCTTTTAGAGTCTTGTCAGAAGTCTCTGGTTCCACCACCCCAGCCGCGAAAACCACATGGTTGGATATCAAAGACACAGTATTAGTCAACAGAACATTTAAAAAAAAAAAAAAGTTTTGTCAGCAGGCAGTTACAGCACAAAGCCCTTGTTATCATTTTTTTGGTGGGGGGGTAGGTTAGAATAAGGGTCACGCTGTATGTGTCGTGATAAATGGGATTTGCTGTCACAGCAAGGCAGACTTGATGACTTAATGACTTCTCAGTTGCTAGGATGAATTGAAGGAGGGTCTGACTGAATGGGTAATGAATGATTAGCTTTGGTCTGCAGCACTTGTCTGATACTGAGAACACACCCGCCACTGTCCACCCAGCGTTCTCAAGCCCCGCTTCCTCACAGCTGGTGAGATCGAGCAGGCCTCTGAACCCATAATTCAAAAATACCACTCCCAATCTCCTCCGCTCCCCGCTGTCACACTCCACCTGTTAACATCTTTTAAGAGCACACAGAAGTGCACAGTAGTGACAGCTAGCCCGTTTGTGTTTGCAGCTATCACTTGTTCCCATAAGGTGGAGACCTGTGTCTGCTTCTGCCTGCCAGTCCTGCATAGGTGGACACCTAGCAGTGAGTAAACGACTGAGCATGTGCTGTGGCAGGAGATAAAAGGGCTAACAGGGAACACCCTATTGCATCTACTGCTAACTCCCTTTTCCCATATGCCCTTCCACTTGGTTGGGTGGCTTGTAGTTTGTGGAATGCAATTCCAATTAATATTCACTCTCTAACAGCTGTGACCATCAAACATCTTGCAAAGGCCTGAACAACAGGTAGAGACCTTTTTATAGAGATGACAGCATGGAGAAGCATGCATTTTACCCCTCCATTTTACCCTCTTGCTGACCCCTGCTCTCATTAGTGTGAGGTCTACCCCAGAGAGGAGCCTGTTCAAGTCCAGAACTGCCTGCATGAGTGTCAAAGTCAGTTTAAAAAAAGGCCTACAGGGAGGATGTTCCACATTAGAGACCAGGGTCAGAGTTAGTTGGAGTCCTAATCCCACCGAGGGTCAAAGTGGAGCAGGGTGGCACTAAAGTCCATCTTACATTTAAACTAAGCCTACCTTGTCAGCTCAGACTGACCAGGTATCAGCAGTCTCCAGTTGCACCCTAAGGTGTCGTTTATGGTGGCATGTCCTTTAGTTGACCTAATATTCCTGTTAGTGTGACACATCATCCAAATGGAGCAAAGGTCAGGAAGCTGTTTACTCCAGGTACTTCAGTTTTGTGTTACATTGAAACACACAGCCAAAGAGTCCACCACTCACTACTGCCATGGTCTATTTTTTCAAAGCATTAAGATAAAAACCACGGTGATTTCAAGTCTTTGCCTCAAGCAGTGTCCTGCTGCTGTTGGAGAATGTGAAACCACTTAGCGCGTTGTCTTGAAACCATTTCTTGTGCTTAAAGCGAGATGGTTTGCTGTTTCTTTCCCTGTCAGAAAATGTTCTCAGAGGCATCCAGTTTTCCACCCTTCAAGTTATTTGGGCTCCGAGGGGAGAGTTATACGTGATGCTTTTGCTTCTCAAGCACATATCTCAAAGAAATTGGGTATCTGACTGCAGCCAATGTTTCCGATAATATATACGCCGTGCCACATTTTGTATCACTTTAGAAACACTTTCCCACATGATTGTAACTGCTCTTCCTCCTGTGAATACTTGGATACCAATACCAAGCTATTTCTGGTTGGATGTTTATACGTTTTTGTTTGGATTCACAAGATGTGGACACGGTTTATGTAAACATAATTTATTTTGTAATGAAAGTACATTCCAAACAAAAAGCTTTGAAGGTTTTAATATGATAAAATACTTACTCGGGGTGATTAAAATTGTGCCAGTTGAATTTAATTTGCATTAGATTACACGCTCTCAGGTTTTGTGTGGTGCCTTAAAAAACATTTCTTTTCTGCTGAACAAAACTCTATTGAATGTGTGACTTACTGGAGCCGCTTTTTGACTTTATGTCCTGCAGCGAAGGATGATGGGAGCGTGGCAGTCGCCCTGGGTTACACTGCACACCTGGTCCTGATGATCTCGTGCTTCCTGCAGATCCCTCTTAGATATCCAGTGATCCACAAAGGTTCACGCTCCTCCATCAAGGACACCATCACTGACAGACTCACCGAGAAGGAGAGAGAGTAAGTGGGCTGAAAACCTGACACGCAACCACAAATTATCAATATCTCTTTCGTGACATATGGGTTTTGCTAAGTCTATCTACCTTGCTGTACAAATAGAACATTGTAATAGTCAGTGTAGTTGTGTTTCTTTTTAATTAATGACTCTCTTGTGGCTGATGTTAGGCTGTACTGGAACTCTCACTCAGCCTTTTGCGGAGTCTGTGATTAGTTTCACTTTCCCAAAATATTTGGATCACATGTACTGATGTTCAGATTAGAGGCTCTGTTTTCACGGCTATGTGCATACTGTGGCATGAAGCGTTGTGAGCATGAAACAAGCTGTGCAATTCATTTAGAGTTAGGACCACATTAGTTTTCAGCAAAGCACCAACCTTTTTATAATGTGGTGATTCTGCCAGCGGGGAAATGCACGGTGAATGAAGTGAAGAAGAGCTTTTAAACTAACTTTAAATGAATTTCTAATTGCAGTGAAGATAGACCTGGCCTGATACAGTATAATCATGACTGTGATTGTTTTGGCTAATTTGATGATGCTGAGTCAGGAAACGATGCGCTTCATGCAAACCTTATTAATGACTTAAGTAAAGCAAAATAATATACATTTTTTTTAGATTTACTTTGACTGTACATTGTTTTATACTACGCAGATAGTACAGATTACCTCATGGGATGATAACACACCTTTATCACTTTCACAACATTACCAATACACATACATAGATATAATACGATTTATTATGTTTTAGAATTAACCATGCATCAATATGTAAGGGAAAAATTGTGACTGGACTTTATAGAGTGATCTCTACTCATAAAGTTAGCAACACTGTAATGGAAAACTGCTAATTTGGTTGTTTCTAAATCGTAACTTTTTTTTTTTTTACAAGATTCATTTTGCAGTGTTGCACCATCTTAGTCCCCATGTAAATTATTTAATTAAATTATTTTATTTCAACTGTTGCTTTAATAAATAAATGTTCACATTGGTATAAGATTGTGCAACACTTGTCTGCTCCCATTAAAAAAAAAACATTTGAATAATTTTAGATTTATAAAAAGCACAACATCTTTGGGCCCAATGTTTTTCATTTAAAGAGCTGTGAGTCTTTTGGAGGCAGAAATCTATACAATTTTTAACTCAACAACTGGACAAGAAAGTGTGTGCAGTGCGGGTGTTTTGCACACTGATTGCTAAGATTGTGCAACCCATCGTTCTCGTCTCCAACTTTTCCCTCATTGCCAGCCAAGTGGTGGTAATGTGCTCTGTCACGTTCCATTATCTGAGTTTTAGCATCTCCATAAAACTGAATTAAATATAAAAGCGTGGATCATATAAATTCATATTTGTTTTGTGTCAAAACATTTACAGTCCTTACTCTGCCCTGATCTCTCCCAGAACCTCTTCTGCTCTTTCAAACCTCTCCCTGCATACTTTCAAACCTTTACTTAGAGATTAAAGAGCACTAAAATGTGTTTTGTATTTATTCTGTAGTTTTGGTGTGAAATAATTTCTGTAGGCAGATACCATATTATCTTTTTGATTTTGTGATTTTGTTGGAAATCCCTATGACTCATGCTCATGTCACCTGATCCCGTCTGTCTGTCTCCTCGGCCGGGTGTGTGCCGGTGTGTGCTGGGTGTGTGCCGGTGTGTGCGGGTTTGTGCCGGTGTGTGCTGGGTGTGTGCCGGTGTGTGCCGGTTTGTGCCGGTGTGTGCTGGGTGTGTGCTGGGTGTGTGCCGGTTTGTGCCGGTGTGTGCCGGGTGTGTGCAAGGCCCTGTGGCTATTTTAAATTTTGCAAACAGCTGCTTACTATCTGACAATTTGGAGAATTTGCATCGTTGAATCTGTTCGAGCGTCTTCGGTGTTCTCTAAAACCTGGAAAAACACTGGAAAAGATGGGCTGTAAGACGAAAGCAGTATTGAAGGTGAAGAAAGCGATTCTAATCCGATGCACTTTTTGTCAAATTCAGTGAATACACTTCATGGTCCACTAGTTGTCTGTTATGTGTGTGCTGGAAAACAACCTGGTGTTCCTACACAGCTCTGGCTCTGTGAATGGGAAATAAACAAAGTGGCTCACACTGAGTAACACCACACTTTTCCAGCCAATCAGTAATGAGGGGCAAATGAAGCCATATTTGAAACATTCATTCTATTATTTCTTCATTTGGAGAAAAAAGTGGCAGAGTGTCACTCTGATGAGCTTTGGCGGCACTGTGACTTTTAGTAATCTCTCAAAACCTGATCAAGTAACTCTGCGGCCAGATTTCAGAGACGAGGAATATTGTAGTAGGCCTTCTGTTTAAGATTTCAACAGATCATAAATTCAGTGATATCATTATACCATGTATGTGAGGTAGTGTAACCCAGAGGGGCTTATACTGCTTAGCTAAACTAAGAATTTTAGGTCCGAGCTTCTGCGGTGAAATCCATTTTTAGGGAGGATGGAAAATGGCCAAAGTAGCACCAAATTCTTCTGACTGGACCATGCGATATAAAAATTATAATCAAAAGCTTTCCAAAAGTAAATGTAAGGTACGTCTGTAAATTGGGTGTTTCAGTTGAGCTGGAATAAATTGTGTTTTTATAATAATATTCTTATTAGTAATGAAGATTGCTTGAAAATGTTTTTTAAGTGCATATTTTTAACAACACTATGTGCTGAGTAACTTCTTGAAAAAACTCTAAATCCATCTTGAAAGTTCCTCAGAGGTGTCTGTATTTTTCTTTGTGGGATCTCCACTGTTTGTTCATATGTTAGTAGAGACATTAACAGGGAACTGTGACCTGATGTGGTACCTGTCCATCTTTCCATACACTTTTCAGCTGCTTGTTTAGGTCAGGGTGGCAGTTGTCTCGGGTAAACTAGGTTACGCTAACTGCAGTAACAGTAGTTTGCTTGTTTTTCAGTGCAGAGGGGTTATATTTGTCTTTATCACGCCCCTCAGCTGCAGCTTGTTACACTGCCCTGTCTTCCATCAGCTGTTGGTGGCTGCAGCATTTTGTCCATAAGCAAAAACAGATCAATTCCAAGGGGATTTGGAGTGGATTGGATAAAATCACAAAATGTGGGCGTCTCATGTGCACATTTCTTTAAAAGCCTAAAATGCATTATTTGGAAACTGTTTTGTCACCCAACACCATCCTAATTAACTTTTCCCTCTTCATTGCCCATAAACATATTCACCATAGATCACTTCTAGATGTAAAACAGTTCAACTCTGAGGTCCAACAGAGTCACTGACCTACAGATAAGTTTAATATCTGGAAAGTGTATTTAGTGTCGATACTTTGCTCTTTCTGACAAATCTCCAGTCCAGATGAAGAAATCTTGTTTTCAAATACAAAACCAGAAACAGATATTCAGCAGTATTGACATACAGTATTTAGTGCATTGTCAGGTTTTGGTTTGAAACTTCCTCCAGTGTTTAGAATGGTAAATTATTTGTTTCCTTTGTCAGCAACCTTTTAAATTAAATGTCTTACCAAAGCAATTATTTCCCTTTGGAAATTTTTCTGATTTTCTTGTTTTCCTGGTTTGATTTTATTTGAATGCAATGCTGTTTGGCAACTGATAGTCTTATCTTCACAGTTTCACACCAGTGCATCAATGCACAATACACACTCACCGCCACAGACAATAGAGCAGTCTGCAGTGGTGTGTCCTCACTGGGGCTTGGCCTTTGGATTCAGAGACACATAGCTGAGAAACCTCAGTATGGATGCCTGTTTTTGCAACTACAGACCTGCATAGCTTGGACAGGTGTTGTTGTCTTCTGAAGCTGTTTTGTTTTGCCCATGGTAACAGCTAAAAAATTCCCCTTTTTTCAATTTACTCTGGTATTCAGAAAGTGCATAATGAAGCTCTACCGAAACTGTAAATCATGGTGCCCATTATGTGCCCGTGTCTCTATCACACCCTTGGGCTGTAACCACCTCGCTTCCTATCTTCACAGCATGATATAATTTCTGTTGAATCGAGCATTATTAACGGCTGAAAAATACTATGTTGACATAGAAAGCAGCAAATGATAAACTGAGAATTTAATCTCACCTGGGGCTTTGTCAGGACCGTCTGTGTAAGTGCTGAACTGTACAAGCACTGTAATTACAGCACGGGCCAATGTAATGAAATTATTATTTGTACGTGTTATGGTCTTGTAACTATGCATCATGTCGGAATTAAAAACCCTGCTGCGATATAATTGCACGCTCAGGGCACACATGCTCAGGTATGCACCTTACATACATATTGACATTCCACACGTGCAATAGGTGAGAGGGGGGAGTCATGAGGAAGATTATGTTATAATCGGCAGTGTTGCCAATAGCCACGGCTGAATGTGATTGCCCCCTTAGTGTAAGTGAATACCAGTTCAAAGCCACTGAAAGAGGTGAATCAAGATGAAAGTCCAGAGTCAAGCTTGCACTCTTCAGCTCTTCACATCGTGGCCTTGTTGATATCAGCAGAATATTTCACACCTTTTTCTTCTTCTGTTGTTTTACTCTGAAAGAATTTATTTAAAGTTTTTTAAGAAGTGTTTATTGGTTGGAAGCTGAACAAAGACGGCCACTCTGGAACCACTTGTGGGCCTTTGTATTTTGAGAGCTGATCCATCTGCTGTAAAGGAGGGACTTGGGGGGCGTTTGAAACCTGGTGTAGGCTCAGTATAGTGAATTATTTAAATCAGTAAGAGAAGAGATGCAGGCCACATGTTGATGTCAAATCGGGTTGTTGTAACAGGTCTGCAGACCAGAAGTCCTCACCATTCTTTTGTTTTGTGTTCTCACCTGTGCTCATGGCATAGCCAACCATGGGTGTAACCTAGTAAAGGTCAACAACTCCTGTCTTTACCAGTTCAACTTTGTGCTGTACTTCAGTCCAAAACAAGTCGCTGCTTCTCCTCAGTCAAGGCACATGGGAATGATGTGCAAATAAGTCCTGACACTTTCACATCCTCATTTGTCATAGTAAGAAGAAAAACAGCTGGGAGAA